TATACGGTAGTTGGTTGAATTTTTTTCTGCTGCTCGCTAAATAATTTTAAGGATTAAAGCTTTAAAGTAGCGGTTTTTTTAATTCCGTGTACTTTAATATATATATATATATATATATATATATATATATATCATATATATACTTATATTTATATATACTTATATGTATATATATGATTCAAAGTTATAAAATGTTTTCAAAATTTAATATTCCAGATGAAAAATCGGAAATGTCGTTTTAAACGTTTTCGTAGACACTGCCGAAGTATAAAACAACAAATAGAAAACTGATTTCGGAAGTTATTCAACAGTTCTGGCACCAAAAATGGGCAGAACTCAAAAAATCAAACAAAATAAAATAAAACAAAACAAACTAAAATAGAATAAAATAAAATAAAATAAAATAAAATAAAATAAAATAAAATAAAATAAAATAAAATAAAATAAAATAAAATAAAATAAAATAAAATAAAATAAAATAAAATAAAATTAAATTAAATTAAATCAAAACCATTCAGCCATGATGTTTTTATAACAAAACCAGTTAAAAGGATATACTGTCTTTTTTGAGAGCGCTCAAATGAAAATTCGTTTGTTCCTCACACGCGACGATCGAATCCTGACTGAAAAAACAGACAGACTCAATGCCGACAACTCTTTATCTCGAGAGGACGAAGTAAGTTATTCCTATTGGGATTTTTTCTCCGGAATATGTCTTGCCTTGGTCGTGTCTGGATTTTGTCTTTCGGAACTTGTTTTATCGCAAAACAATCACAATTTTTTCTAACAAAGAAACTCTTACTTACATATATATTATATATCAACTGTTTTATCTTCATCTGCTTTTGGGGAAAATTCAATAGTTTTTCAAAATTCCATAATTTATAAGATCGCAGTGTGCTCATAAGTAATCTCTTACGCGTTTATGTGTGTGTTTGCATATTTATAAAAAAATTTTTTTACTACCTCAAACTTTGTGCTTCGCAAGCTGAAGTTCTGTATTGCCGTAGACGCAAATGCGTCAATACCTATTAGCGTTTACTCGTAAGTTCTCTGTTGATGTCGTTCGATGTTTTATAACCTTACTTTTTATATGCTTGCTGTTGTGTGTGTATGCGATATACATAAATATATTTTTCAGCATTAAATGGTCAACCCTTCGGTGCTGGATATTTTTTACTTTATATAATTCTCTCTGTGAATGTATGTGTCGGTGTGTGTGTGTGTGTGTGTGTGTGTGTGTGTGTGTGTGTGATTGACATTTCTTTTAATACAATAACTGCGCAAATTTTTTTATAGTTTCTTTTAACTAAACGGTTGGTTTTTTTGTGGGGGTGTTTTAAGTAACAGGATTTTCTGCAATTTTTTTTTATCCAATATTTCATTTTATTTTTATATTCTCGTTTTTATTACATTTTTTCGCTTGAATTTTATGACATCAATTTACTTTTTTGGTATTTTGTGCATGCGAGACTATCCTCAATTTTCAACCGAAATTTGCTTATATTAAATTTTTCATTTTTATTTTCCTCAATTTTATTTTCTTATTTTTTTTTTGTGAATATAAATTTTTCGATCTCATCTAAATTTCTGGCATATCAAAAAATTTTCAGAGGGTTGTTGGAAATACTTGCACAAACATGCACACCCATGTGCAATATATATACCAATATATATATATATATCGTCCTTTTTCATACATATTTATGCATGTATATATCTCGAAACATACATACATATATACCTATGAGTAAGTCTTCTGTTGTGTAAAAATTGTTAAATTTTTATGAGTTGATAAGAGTTGAAAGTGAGCGTCTGAGCGCGCGGGGTAAGCCGTGTGTGTCCGAAAGCTCAGCGCTTGGACACATTCTGGACAGTTTGTGCATTCTTTTCTTTGCTATACTAAAAGTTGTTCGTTATGAAAATAATTTTGGAAAAAAAATAAAAAATAATCAAACACATAAATCTACTTTTTCTTGGTGGAATATTCTTTGCTGCCAAATTTTTATTTGACCTAAGCGTATCCTTTTCTGGAAATTGTTGAATTTAATTTTATTTTTATTTATTTTTTTTTAACTTGGGGAAAAGTCAATGTTTTGAGCGAAAGATGAGTATGTGCATACGTATGTATATATGCACGACACGTTTTGTGCATATATTAACTCGATTTAACCGAATTTTTTGAAAAAGTTTTGAGATAATACTACTACATACGAGTACGAGCATATTGGGCAACTTTTGCAATGTAAATTTATATGGGAAAAATGTATAATAAATACCTTTTCGTTTGCTAGTCCCAAAAAATGACAGGTAGGAACAATAATTTATCAAAAAAAAAAAAGAAAAAAATTATAAAAATATTTAAAACATATAAGAAAATATGAAAAATAAAAAAAGGAACAAAAAAATTAAAATAAAAAGTAATACAGAAAGTAAAAGTTAAAGAAAAAAAATAAAAATAAATTTTAAAAATTAAATAAAAAAACAAATAAAAAAATAAAATAAAAAAAGAAATACAAAAAATTAAAATTGAAGAAAAATATAAAAAGAAAAAAGTAAATACGTAAAGAAGTAAGCTAAATTAAAAATAACAAAAGAAATAAAAAAGGAAAGAGAAATAAAAAAGTAATATAAATAAGTCTTTTAATAAAATATAAAAAAAAAAATGAAATAAAAAAAAATAGAAAAAAAAATTAAAAAAATAATATAAAAAAAATTTATATAAAAAATATATAAAAAAATATAAAAATTATATAAAAAATATATAAAAAATAAAAGAAGTAAAAAAAATAAAAGATGAAAAAGGAGTTCAAATAAAAAGTAATACAGAAAATATAAATTAAAGAAAAATATGATAAATATAAAAAAAAATGAAAATAATAAATAAAAAGAAAACCAATGAAAAATTAAAAAAAAAAAAATAAAAAGAAAAATTAAAAAACAATTAAAAAAAAGCAAAATTAAAAAGTTATACAGAAAATGTATATTAAAAAAAATAAAAAAAGAAAAAAAATAAATAAAGAAAGAAGTAAACTACAATAAAATAGAAATAGCAAAAGAAATAAAACAAAAAAGAAAAATAAAAAAGTATTATAATAATAAAGAAAATAAAATAAAAATAAATAGAAAAAATAAATAAATTAAAAAATTAATTAAAAAATATATAAAAAAAATAAAAGAAGTAAAAAAAATAAAAGATAAAAAAGGAATTAAAGAATAAATGTAAAAAATAATAAAAAAATATAAAAAGTAAATAAATAAAGAAATAAAAGAACAAGTATAAAGAAAGAACAAAAAACAAGTAAAATAAAATGAAAAAGGAAAGGTAAAACCAATAAAAAAAGGAATGTGAAAAAAAAATTTAAAAAAAATATAAAAAAAAACAAAAAAAAAAATAAATACAAACCCTAAATACAAAAATATATTCATATATATATATATATATAAAATAAGAAATAAAATGAAACAGCATAATTTAATATTTATAGTTTTTTTATTATTATTTTACAACACAAGCATAAGCTAGACTCACAAATCATTCTTTATTTTGTAAAAATTTAAAATTAAAATTATTACGCTTGAAAATTTGATTTCGTTTTAAAAAATCTTAATGTACTATTCAAGTATGGACATAAAATTGGCAATATAACTAAAGCATTGCAACGAAGAAATTGTAATAGAAGGGCCCCATTTCAAAGTGAAATTATTATAAAAAATAATAAAAAGTGGTTTGGGCTGTAGGGTGATTCTTCAGTCCTGTAGGACAAAGTCAATGGCATTTGCGCAGAACTTTGAAAAAAGAGCTTTGTATGAAGGCTTATAAAGTTCAATTGGTACAAGAACGACCCTCCGATACTTAGCTTAATGGTCTAAAGGTCGATTGGCCCCAGAAGAGAATTTTATAGGAAAAACATGATTTCCCATAAAGAACTTTATCATCTCCAGAAGCAAAACTGACGGATTTGCGTTTCAGAATACCCAAACGAAAGTATGGAAAATCCAATGTTGAAGATAATAAGACATGGACGATATGTGGTTTCAACAAAACGTAGTGGAAGAGAGGCCGAATCAACAATAGCGGGCCTTTTTCTCCTTCTCTTTGCGGTTGAGTGCCTCTTTCTCTGCATCCAGTGGAGAGTACTGTAACGAATGCTTTCAAAGCTGAAGTTCTTTCATCCATTCGGATGACATGACCTAAGCTGCGTAGCCATTGTTTCTTCATCATGCAATTGCCAATACTCAAACAACCATAAATTCTTCGAAAAACTTTTCTCTCGTCGCCCAAGGTCAACTCATCGGATGCCGACATCATCCACGCTTTTGCACGATATTGTAAGGCGGGCATGATGAGGGATTCGTAAAGTTTGGTTTTGGTTCGTCGAGAGAGCACTTTAAAGTAGCAGTCTGTTGGTAAAATCGATTCTGCGTTGGATTTATCTTATTATTTCTTCAAATTTTTATGAAGCCTTCTGCTACTTCTGGTTTATTCGCCCGCTTTCTTCGTTGTCAGGGGATTGAGCTGGCCAACATGGTTATGGAGCCTGTTGAAAAAAGAAATCAAACGGTTGCGGCTTCAAACTATTCTCAAAAGGATCTCAAAGATTTGGTTACCCTAAAAATCTTTCCATTACTTTGTAGTGAATAGCCCACAGATCCCTTTGGGAGTGTCTTTTTTTATCAAAAGGGTACGTTCTATCAAATACATCTCTTTCCTTTGGAGAGAGCTAAAGTTTCAATGGCTCTGAACTTGATAGTAATCGAGCTGTGTTGTCGCAGAACATTTAATATCCAGGAAGATTAGTTCTTACTAAGATTGATGGGAAAACCGGACCGCGGGAAGATACTGAAAAGTTCGATATACTGAAGTTAAACGGCATAGACGGTAGGGCAATAATAGCACTAACTTCAAGTCTTCTTCTTTTTTTAACATATATATTTTCTATTCTTTCTATTCAGTTCACGGAAGTAAAACTTAAATCTTATATCCCTGTCTCTCTCTCTCTCTTTCTCTTTCAGCCGTCATGTTACCCCAACAATATTGCTTGCGCTGGAAATACCATCACAGCAATCTACAGACAATGTTCTCACAGCTCTTGGACCGTGGCTGTTTCTGTGATGTGACACTGGCCTGTGAGGGACAACTGATACGCGCTCATCGCGTAGTGCTCTGCGCCTGCAGCAGCTTCTTCGACACAGTGCTTACGAATTATGCGAGTGAGCGGGATCCGATAATTATAATGAAGGATGTCACATTCGCCGATGTCAAGTGTTTGATTGAATTCATGTATAAAGGCGAGATAAATGTGGAACATGTAAGAGTCCGCCGTCTATAATACACAAAAGAAAACATTTCTGAATAGAAAAAAAAATGTATTCTCTTTTCAACAGGCAAATTTGGCTTCACTCCTAAAGACTGCAGATGATCTCAAAATCAAAGGTTTGGCGGAAGTTTCGTGGCGTGACGATGACGATGGACCGCCCCTACCCACCGCTGCCACGGAGTTTCACTCACCCACACTTCTCGGTCATGACGTGTACAGTGCAAGACATGAACAGCAACGCGCTGGTTCACCGAGTTTCATACCACCGCAGCGGCTGACGCGTGAACGCAAGTTGTCATCACCGAAGGATACCACGCAGGCGCAACAAAGTTTGCCTACGTTGACGCCGATACCGCCTACGAGTAGCGCTTCAATGGTTGCTGCTGCTGCTGCCGCCGCCGCTGCTGCAGCTGCTGTGGCGTCCGCTGCATCGCCAGTGGACGGTTACTTGGGCACGAAACGTAAGCGTGGAAGACCGCCACTAGACGATGCCTACGATGTATTCAATGTGTGAGTAATAGTTTTTTTTGCATTCTTTCGCAACTTTTGTAATTTGAAAACCCTTTTCTGTGCAGGCGAAAACTCACTCAGTATGGCAACCATTTGGACGCGCATCAACATCACCATCAAGCGTATTTGGAGGCACAGCGTCAGTACAATGAAGAGCAACGTCGCCTTGCTGTCATCTCGCCCATACCGCCGCCTTCGTCGTCATCTGCCGCAGCTGCTGCCGCATATCACCAACACATTCAACAACAGCAACATAATAAACGCATGCGCCAATTGCAACGTCAACAGCAGCAACAACAACAATCGCAACACCATCACCAACAGTTGCATGGCGAAGTGGACGAAATGGAGCAGGAGGACGCACAAGCAGACCCGGAATGGATTACAAGCAATTTAGAGGTGAATGTGGGCGGCGGTGGCGACAGTGAAGCAGCTATTGAGTCCGACTCGGAAGGTGCTTTGATGAAGGAACCAAAATCTGAATTCATCGACGACAAAGAAGTCTCTCAAACTACTAAAATTTATGTCAAAAAACGCAAGGAACGTACATCTGAGGAACGTGAAAAACTGCAGTCTCGTGAACGCTCACTAGCACGTAAACAAGCAAGCGTTGAGGAACGCGATGATAACAATGCAAGCAATGAAGAGCGTGCACGGGTAGAGCGTCGTGAGTCGCGTGAGCACAATCCACAAAAGGAGTGCAGTGAACAACCACAGGAACGTAGTACTGCCAACGGAGAGCCGGTGGAGGAGCGGGAAGAAAAGTCTACGCCTATTGCGCCCGTACCGAAGCCGGTAGAAGAAATGGAAAATGTACGACCAACGAAGGAGAAGTCTAACGGCGCTGCGTCCAATACAACAACCAGTAACAATGGTGGCTCACACAAGCGTGCAAGTGCCGGCAGTGATCACAGCGCACAATTACCACTACCGCCGCCACCTCCGTCACTGCATCATCCGGCGCATGCCTACGGCAAGTATGTGCCGGAAGGTTATCTGCTCAATGAACATGGCATATTGATGACTCACGATTTCGTACATGCACCCACAGCTGCTATACCAACGGCTAGTGTAACAGGGAGTTCAGCGAGCGGTTCCGCAACGGTAGCTGGTACCGCCAATGGCAACGATCAGGATTATGTTGATATAAAAATGGAAGAATATGATACTACGGACTTGCGTTTAACCACCGAAGAAATATCTGAATGGCAGGACGTGATTAAAATGGACGATTATTTGGCTAAAGGACGACGGCCGCAATTCTGGGAGGAGCCCTTTACACGTAGGGTAAGTTAGAAATGAAATTCTAACTCTCCGAAGATTTCCCATTCCATATATTTACCATATTTCTTCAGGTGTTGGATGCTATAAAAAATAAAAGGTTGGAAATGAAAAAGGCCGCACGCATTTTGGGTGTCTCTTATGGCACTCTGTATGGACGATATCGAGAGGTTTATGGCTGTTTGAAACACCCATACAGGTGGGTATATAAAAAAATTAAAACGGATGGGCAGAATTAACTACCCTGAAAACTTGTGGTTTGGCTCCAACCATTTTACGCATGTAAAATTTCAATATTTCTAACGCTGAAAATCAAAGTTTAAAAGAAATTTTTGTATTCTTACAGCAGCTCAACTTTTCGCCCATCTCAGTCAAATCAACTGGCAGTACAACCGTACAACATGGTCTGGCCGTCACCTAAGCGAGACAACAGTCTTATGCCCGGCCAGTTGGGTAGGTTAGATCGAAGAATGACTTGCTTAATTCCGCTATTTAATAAATTCATTATTTCTCCTTTGCAGAAATCGGTAAAATACGTCCAAAGGATTTAAGCGAATTATGGACGCGGCCACAAATTTGAAAGAAAGAGCCGAACAATATAAAAATATGTAAATAAATTTGATGTTTATCATTAAAAGTTTATAGTACATCTGTTGGCTGAAAAGTGTTATTAGTACTACTTATATTTATAATTTTTGTATTATTTTGAATTTTATATGCAATATTAAAAAAAAAAGCAAAGAAAAGTATTTAAATGCATACATATATATGATTTAAGAAAAATTTCATACATTTATGATAGATAACGAAAAAAAGACATACAAAAGACAATTTAAAATTGTAAGTTTAGTGTGAGTATATAGTTGTAGTTAAACACAATATACATATATACGTACAAAATGAGTGTGTACACACGTTCAGTGTACTAAAAGTGTTACAAACTATAGTTTTATCGTCTTTTATAGTATTAAAATAATATTAATTATTTAGCAAATAAAATTTTTAAACACAAATTTGTTGAATTTGGTAATCTTTTCATCTCTTTGAAACATTTATTTTTGTAGTTAAATGAACTTAAGATTATATAATATATATTTTGAAACTATATTAAAGATATTTAGTTCTTTAACGTAGGTATTTGCTGTAAATAATAAAATCTTGCTATATAAACTTTATTGTATTGCATGCTTTGAAGAGATGCATACAAGAAAATTTATGAAATAAGTGTGTGTGTGTTAGTATGCTAAAATCTTTACTAAATAAAGAAATCAAATATTTAATTTCTATCGTAAACGTTTTGTGCTGACTTTAATGAAAGAAACACATTTCGTGAATGAGAAGTGAAAATTGAGTTTATATAATATTGTGAAAACAAATTATGCTGGTCACCAGCCACCTTTAGTAATAATAATAAAATAAATAATAAAAACAGAAAAACCTTCCTGCCTTCAAAACATACCTGCTGACCTAAACGGGGTTAGGTCGCCGAAAGGGTGACAGCCTTTGGTCGGATAAAATCTGCGTAACTCCGGCTGTCGTGAGAGTCGACTTTAAAAACATCGATATCCTACTCCTTTTGCTTGTTTAATATTTTAAAAAATACATATTTCTTTACTTAATTCAATATCCAATTTTATTTAAACAACGACCTTGAAATGCCCTGCGGAAGTTACATGCAAAGGCATTGTTGCATATATCATATTTTCACATATGACTCTTCAAATTCATTACAAAAAATGTATTAACATTTTCAAACTTTAAGCACTAACACTGTTTTATATTTGTTTTAATGATTTAATTGCGCCTTTTCGTGAAATGTGTAACATTGTATAATTTTGTTTATTCCGTTTCCGGCGGCAATAGGAAACTAAATAAAATATTTTCAAAACACCCTGTGTTCGTTTGACATTACTGTGCATATTCACAATAGTGTTTGCAATTGACTTGTCAATTCGAGCAAGTTGTTTCATGCATTGCTTGCATATTTATTTGTTAAATCTTGTATATAAAATATTTGTTACCATTTGCTTTTAATTAGAATGTCAAAAGAATTAATTATAGAAGATAAAACATATTTCTACGATTGTGCAGTTAAAGGAAATGTCATAGAATATCTGTTATACGATTCCGGTAATAATTGGATAGCAACAAAAACGAGCGAGGAAGTGGCGCATACTTTGCAGGTCTATAAAAAAAATTTTATTGGTCTAGGTGTTTTTTTTTAACTAATAATTCATTTGCAATTTTAGCTGTTGAATAAGCGCATAAAATATGACGTTCAAATTGCGTACGATACATTGCAAAATACTCAACCGGAAACTGCCAGCTGGGTTAAGAGTAACGATGAAGTCGATGGTATTGCTGAATTGGAAAGGGTTTTGAAGTTAAAATATCGTATTAAAGGTTGCCCATTTAATTTTGAATGGCGTTTAAAACGGAATGAAGATAAAAAACTCACAATACAGTTACCTGTTAATCATGTTACACGTTTAGTGGATACATTGCCGTCAAAAATCGAAGAACTTTTGGATGTCTTACAGCGCAAAGAGCGAGAAATCAAGCAATACCGACTAGAAAAAGGAAGCTTGCGAAGATGTAGGTATAGTAATTTTTTTGTTTAATGGATAACAAATTTTAATTAATTATAATGCACATTTCCAGCTACACTTGCTACGCCTGACTTCGATGTGGAACAGTTTCGTGAAGAATATGCCACTGCAGAAACCAGTGTTAAATCACTTCAAAATTTTTTAACGCATTGGCGTATGGAACATGGTGTAATAAGCACAATACAAGAGGAAGAAAATGCCAGACCCAGTAGTAGCTGCACGAAGAATGCTGTTAAAAAAGAAGAAGAGGAAGCTGGTACGAGTTCTCCCAGTAGAAGCAAGCTTATAAAGGAAAGTCCACGAAACAAGTGAGTTTAATATGTGGCTTAGCTTTTATTAATACTAAAAATTTTAACTATAATTTCGTTTTTTATATGTGTCGTATCAAAGGAAACGCAAGGCGCTGCAAAATTACAAAACACAAATGGTACGCACACTAAAGACAAGCAAAAAACAATTGGAATACGAAAGTCAAAGTCAGTCACTAAGCTAAAGTGAAATACCGGCCGCTGGGGATTTAGAAGAGACGAGCCAAAATGCAATAAGTAATAAAAGAAAAGCGGAAAATAGCTTACTCAGCAATGAGGATGAATCAATGGAAAATGCTGTTAAACGGAGAAAAACAATAGCTAAAACAACCGCCAGCAGTACACCAAAACCCTTGACCAACTCAATTGATGAGTGCAGTAGTAAATCTACCAAGGAGGTATCAAGGTCTCATAAACACCCACAATTCAATTAAAAAAAACGATCTTTAATACTTTTTCTTTTATAGTAATAGCAAAAAAATATCACCACAGTGCACAAGTGCACAAAGACCAAATACACGTCAACGTCGTCGTGACTATGAATCGCAAGGGAGTGTACTCATTGATGATAACGCTTGCTTTGAAACCCCACGACAAAGTTTGTTGAACACACCTAATGGCAGTACGGAGCTAGTGAAAAATATTAGCAACAAAAGTGCAATAAATACACCAAAAATGAATAAAATTCATAAACATAACAATGTTACTAACATACAAAATACAACAAAAACAAATTTTTTTAACAATTTAGAACAGTCTAAAAATGACTTAAGTGCTTATGTCGACTCTATGCTTAGTCAGCTGGAAGCTATAGATAAAGAGCTACAAGCGTGATATAAGTAAATTAATGCAGATAAATATGTACATGCTTTTGGGCTTAAATATTATATATATATATAGTACTCCTTTGATTAGTGTAAAATTTTTGTAAATTTTTATGTCTAATGAATGTATATATGTATTCATGTGTAAATTTTTTAATGCATGTATAAATGTAATTGCTATACATATATATGTAAAACGTAGCTATGTACTCGCGTTTTTATTAAGCTTCAATAAACAAATTTTGTACATACATATGCATATTGAATTATATTTCCCATTTAACTTTTGAATTTGTTAATTATTCTTTATTTTATTATGGTTATATTGGTATATTTATAATTATCGATATTTTCTTCGTATCTTTATACGCCACCACCAAATATTTGATAACAACATTTTATTTAGGCTTTTGTTTGTTCTTTTCGCAAATTGTCAGTGTCAAAACTATTTATCTAGTTATGAGGTATCAATAATGATAGCATGGTTATCATTGTTTACATATTGAGCACTGGGGTATGTATCGGCATACGTAAATATGTATTTAATCCAACGTCGGCATGAGCTTTATGATACATATATTAGATATACATACATACATATATATATATATGTATGTAAACACTTGTTACTTCATAGGTGCAACACTGTAAGGAAGCAAACATTTATTCGTTAACAGTCGTTTAGTCGTGGTGCGTGTGACCTGTTAGCTGATTAAAAAAAAAAAGCTAAAATAAATTTTTGTTTTATTAATACTATAAATTTCACACTGCTAGTTGGCGATGTTGCTAAAATTTTCGCTTTGTGCTATTTTTTGGATTTTTCAAAATGCTCTAATGGCATATTCCTGTGAGTTTTCAGTAAATTTCAATATGCCGCATTTGTTGTGGTAATGACCTCATTGTTGAATAGAAGGAAATTGAAGTGCTGTACATAAAGACTTACATATACATACATATGTATGTGTATGCATGCACAGCTTGCGCATACAATTGGCTTACAGTGATTTTAAAAATATTAAAAAATTTAGATTATGTTTTTTTTTTGTTTTTTGCTTTTAATCTATAAATTTTTAATTTAAATTATATTTTATATAACGCACAGTGCACACACACAATGAAAGTATACACACACATTTGCCTCGACCTTATTTGTTAGCCGATTTGGATGCGAAAATTTTTGGTGGCTCACCTGTTGCCATCACCAGTGCGCCGTGGCAGGTGTCGGTGCGTCTAAAGGAATACGAAATCGTACAATTTGGTTATGGGCACATATGCGGCGGTTCGGTTATAACAACGCGCGTGATTGTCTCAGCAGCACACTGTGCAATCTAGTGAGTTGCATGCACCTATACACACATACCTACATATGTACATGCGTTATAGATTCTTCTTCTTGTCTTCATTCCTCACTCCCACAGTACCAACATAACGCCGACGGTATATCGTTTTCCCAATGACTTTACAATTGTCATGGGCTCTGTTTATCTACAAGAGGTCACACCGTACACACTGCAGTATAATGTATTGGAAGTGGTGCCACATCCGGATTTCAATTTACAACCATTAGAAAATGATATTGCTTTATTTTTCATCAACGGCAAGATACCAACAAATTATCCAACCGTCTCACCGATACCGCTCAATCGTTTGGCTTTAGCGGCGGGCCTTAATTGCACCGTTACTGGTTGGGGTGTAACAGAACAGGTGTGTCGTCCATTTCATTTTTAATTATTTATTTGGAATTTTCATTTATATCAATTTCCATCAACCCTTCCAGGGCATAACTTGGCCAGTGCTGTTGGGCACTGTGGTGCCTATAGTCGCCACTGCACAATGTAATAACAGTTACAGCGGTACAATTATGAATGGCATGCTTTGTGCTGGCTATTTGTCGACTGGCGGCGCGGATGCTTGTCAAGGCGACTCTGGTGGTCCATTGGCTTGTAATGGCACATTGGCTGGCATTGTTTCGTGGGGAAATGGGTGTGCTAAGCCTGGCTACCCCGGCGTGTATACAAATGTCTCCGATTACACTAACTGGATATTGTTGACCAATTCCACTTTCAATTATACGCGTTACGGTGGCGCTTTGGGTTTGAGTTGCGGTCCACAGCAATTGATGTTGCTCGTATTCTGCCTGCTGAATGTTTTGTTGTGGTTTAGAGTAAATTAGCGTGAATATTCGATTTTTTGCTGTTAATTTTTAATGTGATATCTGTTTTAAAGAAATGAAAATAAAATTTAAAATTTTTACATTAAAGATAAATTTGCGTTATATACGTTTTAAGGAAAGTTTCAAAGAGACTGCAGCTCCTTCATCAATTATACTTGTACAAAGCGCTCTGGAGCACATCATTGTCTATGCTTGATGCGTAGGAGAGAGAGGATGTTGAGAGAAGAGCGAGATGATATTATTATTGAATTTATTCAGTGAGAATTTTGGCTCTAAAAGACGTTCGGTGGTGGTCTCCACAGGTAGAGGTAGTGTAAGGAGATCATTCCTCCTTTAAACTGGCTAATGCATTGGGTGGAGCTTAGGCGTGAGCTTCGGATGAGGAATTGGAGTTGGTGTAAGCTTAAAATTCTACTGCTTCGACGGGAAGTTATTTGAGCGCTGTCGCTCTACATATATGGTGAAGTGAGTGAGTGCTTAAGAAGTTTTGTACACCACTTTGTAACTGGCCTTTACTGGTTACGGGAAATTTCTAAGCATGTAACAATGCACCCAAAGTTTACTCCTCTACTGTCCCTGAGTATGCGTGGCAGGAAACAAAATCCAATATCTAAAAATGTGCTGGGGTTACTCGCTTAAATATATTCTCCCCCTAGACGGCTTAGTCGTCTAGAGTTTTTCGCCGATAATTCATCTCGAAGGACTATATTCTTAGAATTTCCTTGGATATACGTGGAGCTTTGAATGTAGTAACCAAAGTAGCAATACTAAATAGTCTGATAAATAGACAGTGTACAACCTACTGTCCTTCTAAGGATAAAGAGACTGCTAAACGGCAGAAGGATAAGCGCTAAATAGACCGGTTTTATTAAGCAAACTTGCAGAGGGACTCCTCAGGGCGGCGTATAATCATCGATTTTGTGGCCATGCGTATAAAATGAGCTTCTGAAGGCATGTACGCTAATTGTGGAAGCACAATGTAGAGGAGATGGTAACCATTTTTCATGCAAAAAGGCGTTAATTTCTATTTGCGGTAGTTAAGCCCATCTTACTCTATGCAGTTTCGACGCAGTGGACCCCAGTGAGCATAATCCCAAACGGCAAATCGTTGAAGCGGGTACAGGGGCTCGGCGGACTCTGTGTAATGCAAGTGTGTGGAACTACTGCAAACGAAATATTACTCAACCGCCTTAGAACCTTAGAGCATAAGTCAATTATGAATTATTGAATGCTGTACTTGATAGATTAATAACTTACCACTACTCTTTAGCTGGGAAAGAAGGCTTGAAGTCACATCAAAAGAATATGGTTCGTACAGGAATGTGCCGTCCTCTAGCGGAATATTAAACATCTAAACAGACTGATCAATAACAGTTGATGGAGCGGGCAGCAAAAGCTTACAGGTAGTGCTGCAAGCAGTATTTTCCAGGTCTTCGCGGTAAGACACAACGCGTTTACTTTTTTTTTTTGGGATGTTGGTCACACCACGACTCGAAACTTGGCTTTCCAAATGGCAGTACGCAATGCTACCACTCGCCTATCGCGGCCCCCCTGATGCGATAGGTATAATGTCAGGTCAAATTTTATGGACAACACACGCGAGCGGTAGGGTAACTAATATCAGTGAAAAAAGTAGGTAATCTGTCACAAATGTTCTACTCTACTTCTGGCCGGCCTCATCTGGAACTCATCTTAAACATCTAGGAGCTGCATTATTCCGAGGAGTAGAGAAAGTTTCATAATTGGACATCAAAGTTCATTTGAACTTAGTAAAAGCTTTAACGTCCTAGGCCTTCACCTCTTGTTAAATGAATTATTTTGACTTCAAGAATTGCGTTCTCGTTTCTTCTGTGTGGTATATTTTATGTCTCCCCCTGCTCTCTCTTTCATGTGCAAGTCGAGTAGGGAATGCAGAAAGTTGTAAAAGCCCGAGGAGGGCATTGTCTATCGACTACAGCGCATATCTGCCTAATTAGTCTCTGCTGAAGAGACGGTCTGCGCAATGGACTGTTATCGCCTTTACAACTCAATATGGTATTGAAAAATAAAAAAGAATTGCAAACATAGCTACTTGAGTAAATGTGTTTAAATGACATACATATGTTTACACACATATCTAATTAACTGATAGATTCGGCAGTAAATATGTAAACATATCAGAAGATTGATATGACAAGCTTTCTTCTTCTAAAAACATTTTTACAACGGAGGAGGTAAGTCAATCCATTTAATTGATTAAAATTCTCTTGACTTTTTTTTTGGTTACCTTCTATTGTGAATAGTTCTGAGAATTCATTGCCGAAATTGAAGTCTTCATTGTACTATAAACCCTGAAGCGATTTTCGGTCGAGCTTCTCCTCCAACTTGTGGCTTTGCGTCTTGATGTTTTTTCAACAAATGAAAAAATCTAAAGATGTTCTAAGCTGCCTCTGAACGGCTAATGGTTTCATTATGAGGAGCTTTATTTCATGTCAGAACGGATGGGTTGCCGCGAAACCTGGCCTTCCGAATGATACTAAGCAATACTAACCACTCGACTATTGCACCCATCGAAGTCTTCAATGAGTCATAATAATTATTCCTTTACAAATACATATTTAGCAAGTATTAATTACTCTGACGTCAGTCAGTAGAACACCTGATAATGTCTCATTCATTATTTTACTCAGTCGTCACATTAAGTGCGTTCTATACGCTGTCCGGGCTGTTTCGGTAGCATAAGTTACAATCGAAATACTTGAAACCAGATCGACCATGTTGCGTTAGACGGAAGACACAACTCCAGTGTTTGAAGTGTGTGTACTCTTTTGGAACTGAAACTTTCTATTTCTACACGACTTGCTCTACACTTGCTTTCTGCGTGGGACCCGTGCGAAATCTAAACCAACGATTGGAATCTGTGTGAGCTGTGCTTAAGTACTTGGTGCGTGTGGAACACACTAATACACTATATACACGATGAGCATGTGATAAGATAAATCATGAGTTGCAAGGTCATCGCTCACAAAACTTTCCTCTTATCAATCAAGTTTAAAGCGCAATCAAAGTAAAAATATATTCTGCTTTTACTTTCTGCCAGAAATGCATGATTAAATGTACGCCCCACCTTTGATAACCAGAATGTTTCACACCAATCATGGGCACTTATCATTTTTGGTCAAAAGCAATTAGTTATTGTCGCAAAAGTGGCTTGCTTCTACGGCACATTCGCAAAGTTTTCAGTATCATTAATGCGTGGAAAGTGTTAAAATGTGAACTTCCAAAGTTATTGAGATATCTTTTAACCAGTGTTTTCGAGTCATGATTTCGCTAATACGTTTTGCTCAGTTTTCCATTTTATTTTCCTGGTTTTTGTTACTATCGCGTGGCACGGCATTTGGTGCTACAAGTGAGTAGATGAAAAAATTAACAGGCGCGAATTAAATACAAACTAAGAGAAGTACGAATTGTTACTCATACCACATGGCGAGCTACGAATTGAAATGGGACGGAAAAATTTAAAAAATTATATAACATTTAATAAAATAAAATAAAATAAAATAAAATAAAATAAAATAAAATAAAATAAAATAAAATAAAATAAAATAAAATAAAATAAAATAAAAAATACAAAACTGTTAAATAAACCAAAATAAAATAAATTAAAATAAACTTAAATTAAATAAAGAAATAAAATAAAAAATGAAAGTAAATGGAAAAAAATAAGAAAAAATTAATAATAATTGCATCCGCGTGGTTAGCATTGCTTACCGTCATTCGGATGCCGCGGGTTCAATTTTTGGTGCGACCAACATCCAAAAGTTAAAGAAAATTAATTGAGTGTGTTTCTGACATGAAATCCAAGCTCATCATAAGAAATCTTCAGCCGTCTGGGCCGTCTCCCCATTTATTCTGGGTCTGGGTAGGTTCTTTCATATGTTGGAAAAACAAAAAGCCGCTTCAGCGGTTGTAAAGCGCCAATTATACATATATATATTTTTTTAATAAAATAAAATAGCAAAAAATCGAATAAATTAATAATAATAATAATAATAATAATAATAAAAATTTAAATTTGTGCCATTTTACTGTGAATAATCAATCAACCATAACGATTTTCATGGTTATACTGTTATTAGTAACCAATTAATAATAAACTTATAATTTGCAAATCATGGTTATTATGAAATTACTCATTTTATTCTACGTCATACATCGAAATTGTAGTCTTTACTGGAAGTCCGAAATATAACATCAGTCAGCGAACCCTTATCAACGATGCACCCTATCAAGTGTCGGTACGTTTGAAGGTGTATGAACAATTGGGCGGCTACGGCTATGGCCATCTATGTGGCGGCGCTGTTATATCACAGAAGACCGTAGTTACAGCAGCGCAATGCGCTTTGAAGTAAAGCCAAATGTTATATATATATATGTTATAATAGCTCTAGTAAATTACTTAATATATTTTTGAATTTGTCACCACAGCACCGCAGTTATGACGCGCACCTATCGTGATCCCGAAGAATACACGTTGGTTATGGGCGGCAGTTTTCTGCTGGAGAAGAATGCATACGTATTGCAATATGATGTACAGGAAATCTTGCCACATCCCCAATTCAATTCGACATCTTTGGATAATGACATAGCACTGCTGTTTATTGACGGTGAGATACCTTGGCTTTGGCCTACAGTCAGGCCAATTTCCTTACAAACCATTGCAGTGGCATCCAATAGCACATGTCGCTTTGGTGGTTGGGGTAAGATGATATGGGTGAGTATATATATATATATTTGTTGCACTAATTATTTGTGAAAGTATAGTGTTTATTTTTCTTTATTTAGCAACAAAGCAGTCTCTCTGATGTACTGCTAATGGCGTCCATTCCCATGGTCGGCTATACTGCCTGTTATAAAAATTACGGTTTCATTCCAGTCGGGATGTTGTGTGCAGGCTACATGCAAGGCGGTGTTGATGCTTGTGAAGGCAATTCTGGCGCACCGCTGGTGTGTAACGGTCTGCTTACAGGTATAGCTTCATGGGGCATTAGTTGCGGTCGTCCGGGATATCCGGGTATCTATACGAATATTTCCAATTATATATCTTGGATTCAAACTGTAAATACTTCAGTGAAAAGCAGTGATACCATCAGCTCGGAAATAAGCTCTTCTGGTACCTCGAAACTTATGGCCGATTTTTTCACTGCTTTTATGTTTTATGGTTTTTTTGAGCTTACTGAATTCGGATTAAAAACATTTATTTAACTTAACATTATTTATTTTTTTTTAATCTTAAATATTGTTATACAAAGACTGAATGAAAAATATAGAATTTAATTTGAAAATCATGTAAAAAGTCACTGTAAATGGTCACTATATGTTAATACATAGATGAAAGATCGACACACACTGCTTTTTCACCTATTTTCCAAACCCCATTGATGAAAGCTACTTCCACGTTGCTTAAGATGAAAAGGACTATCCGAAGTTCAAGATACAACTACAAGAGTCAACGTAATGCTGGAGAAGTTAATACTTCCTGCAAAACTGGGCAGGAAACTGATGGCGTATGCCGATGATATTGATATCATGTCAAACTCTCCGGGTGTACATTTTTCTGACATGAAAAAAAGACAAAAAAACCATCGGAGTGGGCTTAATATAAACTGTGGGTCCCTTCATTTGTTGGAAAATGTCAAGATGTGCTCCACAAACTGGATGAGGAGCTTGTACAAAAGTCGTTTCAGCGGCTAAAAACAAAAATTATCCTAACTTGATTCCTTATATTTAGAGTTCTATTTATGTTGTTTTACATTTTATTACAATTATCCGGCATACAGAATTTTACATCCGTCCATTTGTGCCAAGTTTTTGATATTCCACTTCTGAATTATTGTATGCCACTTCTGATTTATAATAAGCGATGTCCTGTCTCTCACCATGATTTGCGACTTAGTGTATTCGACCTACTGTGTTTCGCATCCGGTATCCCATGTAAGTTCTCTGGTATACTGTATCCTTCTTTTCTTATTCATCAGTCAATAATAATATTTCTGTCGGGGGAGAAGAATCAGTAAGTGTTAGCCAGTAGTAGTAGTTCCACCTAAAATATCGTTACTGTAAGTGTAAGTGTAGCCCGAATGTGTATACTGCTCGACGTTCTAAAGAGCTGGGACCTTCTTACGGCACAATTCGGCATATATTGGGTTCTTGAGCAACAAACATTTCTCACTCGGGGGTTGCGTAATTCACTATAATATTACCACCAACCTGTAATTGAAGACTGTAATTGAAAAGGCGACCGCAGTGGCCGAGTGGTTAGCGTTGGGTACTGCCATTCTGAAGACCTGGGCTTAGATCCTGGTGCGGCATATTATCTCATCTTAACGATGTCAATTGGCCACCGAAATCGTGAGATTTTACACCGTTGTACTTGCAGATAAACCTTTAACTCTTGAGCGCTTGAAATCCAACAATCGTCCATTTATGGCTGAGATACAGCGTAATGTGTGTCAAAAAGTGGTCCAAATTACCTTAAATAGATGGAAGTTTGTGAGGATTCGCTATGATTTGGAGTTTCATGAATAATGCCAAGTGTAAAATTTATAATAAAAAAAGAATTTCATAAAAGAAAATTATTTGAAATGAATTTTTTTTAAGTTCATTTTCAAAACATTATTTCATTCAATACAACGAATGTGTATAGCTTTGCTAAAGTTTTTGCCTAAAAGTATACAAATATTATTAAGCGCTTTTTAGTGATATAGAAAAACTACTGTCAATTATTAATACGAAATCAACGAAAAATAATAGTTTACTTAAGTACATATGAGTGAGAACTGATAAGAGTATTTGTTAAAGCTTTTGGACCACAAGCGAAGTAAATAAATATTTCAGTGGCATTTTATCTTTGAAGTTTGTTTACATAGATGACTATCTGTCATATGTATGTAAAATATGTGGGTGGTTGGTCAATAATTTAATTTTAATTTTTTATCTAATTGTTAATTTCTTTATCATTGGCATCGACAACCTACAGTGAGCAAGAGTAATAGATAATATTTGCATTTTAACTTCAGTTTTATATACATACATATGCATATTGTATATATGCATTATGATATGTATTACAGCACTTGAACTTCCGCTTCCTCCCAACTCATTTGATATATCCGAGTTGCAGCGCCAAAACAGCAACAGTAGCAATCGAGTAGTCACGGTATTGGCCCATATATTGAACAATTAAAGCGCGTCGCTTTCAGTGGCTGCAATAAAGATAGGCATCTCGTTGTCTACCGAATTCGTATTGGCATATAATAAATTATTTAAATCACGGCAAAACCATGAATTCTCAAGGGATTTTCTGGTTCCTGGTGATTTATGCCTGCCTGATACAGCGACTGGTGCGGAGTATAAGTATGTGTGCTCCAATAAATTACAAATCATAAATTATTTTTTATTTTATTATTTTCTACACGTAATCTCAGAAAACCCACTCGAAAATCAACGTTCAAATCAACCGAAAATAATTAACGGCACTGAGGTGAAGTGGGAAGGCACGAGGCATCAGGTTTCGGTGCGTTTGACAGCGAGTGATTGGTTTTTCGGCGCTGGTCATATATGCGGTGGATCGCTTATCTCACCCAGAGCCGTGCTAACCGCGGGACACTGTATATGGAGGTGAGTTGAGGTTATAGTGTTGCTTTGTATTATTTTTTTTTTATTATTTGTTTTTTGCTTTTTTTTAGCGCAAGCGCTGAAAGTTATCGCAATGCTAGTGAATTCTCCGTTGTTATGGGAAATTTGAATCGTTATCAACATGATAACGACACACTGTCGATCGGTGTAAATAAAATCTCGGTGCATAGCAATTTCAATGCCTCCACATATGTAGGTGATGTGGCAATATTGCATTTGGCTGCTGCAGTGCCATCAAATTTTACACGCGCACATGCAATACCATTAAACAGTGAACGAAATTTGCGCGCAAATACGCGTTGCGAAGTAACCGGTTGGGGTCGCACCGAAAATGTAATTAAATGAAAAATTATATCGTATTTATATGTAAAAATTTCACTCTGCTTCTTACTGCCAGGACGCTTACTCGCCCGAATTAATGATTGTGGAAGTGGCTATTGTGAATAGAACACTATGCGCTACAAATTATGGTGAATTCATACGTGATGGCATGATTTGTGCTGGTTACATGGCGGGTGGTCGTGACGCTTGTGTTGGCGATTCGGGTGGTCCACTGGTGTGTGGTGGTCAGTTGGTGGGCGTTGTGTCATTTGGTGTGGGCTGTGCGCAGCCGGGTTATCCAGGCGTTTACGCTGAAGTGGCTAATTACTTGCAATGGATAAATAATGAGACAAAGTCGTTTGTGGAGATTGACGGTCTGGGTGATCCTGAGGGTTTTGTTGGGGGTGAAACAGAAGGTGGCTTAGCTGGTGTTGACAATGCTGCTGGCAATGGTTCTATGCACGGTGGTACTGTTATCAATACTAGTGGTGCGTGTGGTTGTTTGTTGTCGGCGGCAAGTGTGATTTTTGGGCTGCTTTTCTCAAGTGTGTGATAAGTGATTTGATTTCATTTCTGCTGAAAATGACTAATGAATTTATGATTTATCAATTTACGTTGTTAATTCAACCAAATATATAAGTATATATATATATAGTTTAATTTTATTGGCGAACGATAAGCTGTTGTCTGCTCTACTATAAATTCTTCTTTGATTGGTTTTTCTAATCGTCAAGATAATAATTTGACGTCAAGTTGTTAAATATTTATGTAAAAATACATAAATATATACAAATATTTAGATACAGGGGGATATATAAATATATTTATATTTACATATAATTAAAGATAATACAAGGTTATCCATATTGTGTTTTCGAAAATCAGCATAAATGAAATGGATTTTATTTATAAAGTTTAAATCTTGGCATTATATTATGAAAACTTATATATACATATATATATAATATATATGATTGGCGCTTTGTAACCGTTGAAGCGATTTTCGACCAAGCTCCTCCTCCGATTTGTGGTTTTGCCTTTGATGTGTTTCCAGCAAATGGAGGGACCAACAGTTTAAGCTAAGCCGCCCCCGAACGGCTGATGTTTTTTTTCAGGAGTACTTCTTTAATCATACATAATTCATATTGACACTTCGCGAGTTTTTATAAACTTCGATTCATTTGAGGTAATAATTCGATAACTCTCTGTTGCAGAATTGGGTGGTATCTCAGCCTTACCTAGACAAATATTGATTTTCAAATATTCAAGAGTTTAAGGTTAATCCACATAAGCACGATATTTCAGTTGGATCCACAAAAAAGGTCAAACGCGGTCAAACCGCACAATATCGGGGTCTTTCCCAGACTTTCCCAAAGCTAGGTTAAATATGCACCGCTTTGCTCGATAACTTTTTGTCATTTTGTAGGTTGTAATTGACAAAAAATTGAAACAATCGGCTTCTCTTGAGGCCTTTCCTTCAGCCATATCTTTAGCTACATACTGAAAAAGATGGTAATTACTTGGTGCGAGGTCCTTCCAACCAAGCTTTCGAAACTTCTGGCTAGTAACTTTCGATGCGTGTACTGTTGAAGCACCATTTCCCACCTGTTTGTCGTGGCTGGACGCTTCTTAGCGATAACTTTCTTCAGACGGTCCAAATGCTTACAGTACAGGCCCGAATTAATAGTTTGGTCGTAGTGGAGTAGCTCATAATGGATGATTCCTTGCAAAGATCCACCAAAGGCACAACAAAACCTTCCGGGTCATCAATTTTGACTTGCACACCGCTTGTGCCGGGTCATTGACCTTTGACCGCGATTGTTTTCATTTGACGTTGCTGTAAGTGATCCATTTTTATCACTAGTCTTTATCCGCTTCAGAAATGCGTCGATTTTGTTACGATTCAACAGCGATTCGGAGAAGGAAATTCGATTCATGAGGTTTTTTATCCTCAACTCATGTGACATCCATACAACGGACTTCTTTCTGTATCATGCATTTTTCAAGTTGTTTCAGACTATCTTTTGCGCAATATTTAGCTTCTAGGCAATCGATGCTCGCCCGATGGTCAAACTTGACGATTTCCATTATTCCAACTTCCAATTTTCGACAACACCAAAATTTCCGTAAGGATTTCGATGAAGCCGGAATTATGCATGATTGACTCTGATAGTATCAGGACTCCAAACACTATTCACATTTTCAGCTCCTTGCCTAGCGTTTTCGTCTTTATCGAAGAAAGCGATTTTCTGGAAGGCACCCAAAATCGACACATCCGATATCATTCACTCTTCTGCACCATATAGCAGACCGATAATGATGCGGGGCTTGTAGAGTTGGAATCATTTTGGAAAGATAGGCATTGGATTTCAAGGCTACTTGAGCCTAGATGGACGTAAATCAAAGTTATGACCGTCAACAATGATTTTGGGGTTGACGCAAGTAACTCTGTTTAATTTATATCAACACCGCTAATATAACTTAATTGTAAATAGTATTATTAAAAATTAATTATATTTAAAAACTATGCTTTGCTGATAACAGTGTTGCTTTAATCGATAATTGAATTGAAATTAATTTTCTTGCAGTATCATACACTTGAAATTTCCGTATTTATGTCGAGATATTTCTGCAAATTTACACTGGCGCAACGGTAATCCCAACCAGGGGGAGCGGTAATGGAGCTCTTAGGTGCTAAAAAGTGGCATTATAATAGGCAAAAACCCGATGCCAAGGCAGCACTGGTTTTATTTCGAGGAATTTCAATCTGCTCTGTTCAGTTCAAGGCTGCATGTTAACGATACATTTTATGTTAAACGAAAGATTTCTAACGATTCGGTTGAAATATTTGCGAATATTAACATTAAAGCTATTAACAAAATAAATTTCCTATCATTTTTACCCGAAACGAAAAGCTGTCGTTAATGTTAAATCGTAAACAGAAAATGTTAAACCTTCAACAGATAATGTTAAACCTTCAACAGATAATGTTAAAATTGAAGTGAGCTGTTAAGCCAGCAGACATTTTAAAATTAACATGTGGATTCAACGTTACTTTTTCTTCTTCTTCTACTTTTTGTTGAAACGGAAAGATATCGTTGCGTTTGTTGAGCATCTCTGGTTCAGATAAATTGTAAAAGTTTGGGACTCGTGTGGCAAAAATTGTCGGGAAGATTAGTGATTTACTAGAAAGGGAATATCTAAAGTTTATAGAAAGAAAAAAAAAACATTAACAACAAGAAGATCAAGGCAAAACCCACGAAGTAAAAGGGAAGTGAAATTTTTAATAAAAAAATATATATGCAATATGCAGTGAAGCAGCTAGCGAAAATGGCTTTCTATAATTCAGCAGTGGAATATGTAGTGGTTGAGTTATAGTCATTTTCGTTTTCATTTGCACTTTTAAAGATTGTCATTGGGGTCTTAGCACTCAATACGCCCTCTTCGAAACGACTGCCAGTAATTGTTATGGATTTCTGTATTAACGGCAAAGACAGCCAATATTTATGTATGTCCATAAACCAATGGTATCGATTAAAATCTGCGTTGTTGAGAAAAAAAAACATTTTACTTGATTAGATTATAATACAAACCTACATATAGGTGTGCTTGTATAGTATATAAACATATGTATATATGTATATAATAAAATACGTAGTTTGGAAATTCCCTGACAAAATAAATACCAAAAATAATAACTGTTTCGGAAGGTAAAAAATCAATGGTTCGATGTCATTTCACTCCAAACCCTCGAGGAGGAAGCAAGAAGAAATTGAAGGCATACGATTATTCGCCTAAAATACCAAGTAAATATAAACAAGTGAGCGTGAATTACTATATTCTACTCTAGTAGTGATACAAAAAAAAGTATGATATTAAAAATTACAATAATTTGCCTCACATTTTGTAACTTTTTACAAGCACAACTAACAGGTTAGTTATTAAATACGAAAATTTTCATCGAAACCTAATAACTATAATTAAATGTTTCTCCCGACATGCAGCGGCGACACCAAATGGTCATACGGTAAGTTTTGAAATAGACGGCCGTATTATCAATGGCACTGTGGCCACCTTGAATGCCACAAAACATCAAGTCTCAATTCGACGACGTCTCAACGATGGCTATTTCTTTGGCACAGGACATCTCTGTGGCGGCTCCTTGATCAGTTCCGATATAGTGTTATCAGCAGCGCATTGTTTCGTGAAGTGAGTGGAAGTTTTGATAGTGTCAAATATAAACTTGACTATCTGTTTTCGATCTAAAAGTGTCATATTGAGCATGATTTGCGCATTGAGCTAAAACAAAAAAGTGGGAAAATTACAAAGATTATATTTGATTTAGAGTGTGAGCTCTCTGTGGAGAACATATGAACATCTGCTGCAGAGCCACATTTTTTTAAGTAGTCGAAAATGTTTATTGAAATTTTACTGATTTCTCTTGGCAAGGTCTAAAGCAAAATCCAAGGATCATAAATCTGGTCATACAAACGAGTTTAGTTGATTTAGCCACATCCGTCTGACTGTCGATCCGTTCGTCTGTTTGAACGCAAACTACTTATCTCTCAGTTTATGAGATATTATTATATATTAGAAGATAGATTAGTAAGAGGTCGCGCTGCCTGACCAGTGGTCTACTGTTCCCACTGAGAGAGAAAGCAGGTGTTTATTTAAAATGTATTTCTCATTTGTCGGAACCTGCCATGCAACCGATTTGTTCAGTTATGTGATTTTGAATCATAAATACTTCAATTAGATGCTTTATTGAACTTGAAATTTGCTATTACTCACTAAATGTACTAACTATTGGTATTGAAAATCATCGAAATCCGAGCACTATCACATATTTTTTATTTCATTTTATTTTACTTTATTTTATTTTATATTATTTTATTTTACTTTACTTGATTTCATTTTATTTTATTTTAGTTTCTTTTGTTTTGTTTCATTTAATTTTATTTTATTTTATTTATTTTATTTTATTTTATTTTATTTTATTTTATTTTATTTTATTTTATTTTATTTTATTTTATTTTATTTTATTTTATTTTATTTTATTTTATTTTTTATTATTTTATTTTACTTTACTTGATTCGACTAATAATATTTTATTTTAGTTTCTTTTATTTCAATTTATTTAATTTTTTTTTTTTACTTTTTTTATTTTTATTTTCTTATTTATTTATTTTTTAATTTTAATATATTTTTTTTTATTTTATTATAACATTTGAATTTTTATTAATTTATTCCTTCTTATAAACATATTTTTGTTCACTAAATTTGTATTAGTTTAATTTATTTTTATTTAGTTTTATTTTTCTTTAATTGATAATTTATTTTCTAATTTTTTATTTTATTTTTTGTAGTTCTATGCTGTTTAATTTTATCCTTTGCGATTTATACAAATTTTTTTATAAATATCATTTTCTTGTATAAGACTTTTTATTTATTATTTATTTATTTTTAATTCGTTTCTTTTTAATTTATTTTATATAAAGTTATTTTATTTAATTCATTTTTATTTCAATTTTATTCAATTCAATTTAATTTTTATTTCATTATTTAGTGTATTTATTTCACTTTATTATATTTTAATTTACTTTGGCTTTTTGGTATTTCATTCTATTTTTATTTATTTTAATTAATTTAATTAAAATATTTTTCTTTAATTTATTTTACTTTATTATACATTAATGAATTCATTTTAAGTTTTTTTATTTTGTCTTATTTAGTATTTTATCCTATTCTAATTTATTTTATTTTATTTTGAGTTATTTTATCGAAATTAATTTTTTGATTTTTATTTTTTTATGTATAATATTCTATTTAACTTTATATTTAATTATTATAATTTATTTAACTCCATTTTAATGTATTTTTTGCTTTAGTTTATTCACCATATGTTATTTAATTATAATTAATTTTTTTATTTTATTTTATTTTGTTTTGTTTTATTCTATTTTATTATATTTTATTTTATTTTATTTTGTTTTAGGTTATTTTATTTTATTTTACTTTGTTTTATTTTATTTTATTATAATTTTTATTTTTATTTTTTTTATTTTTGTTTTTTTTAATTTTAATTTAGCATAAATTAACTTACTTTGTTTCATTTTATTTTGTCCTTTCTGGAATTTGATTCTACTTGTATTTATTTTCTTTTATTTATTTTATTTCAATTTACTTTGTTTCATATTTTTATTTTTTATTTTTTATATTTTATGCCAAATTAGTTACGATATCAACACGGGCGTTTTCCGACCGGCTGAAGACTACATCGTAGTTATGGGCAACTTGGATCGTTTTGAACAAAATAACACGCTTATCTACGATATTTCAAAGATTGTCTACAACGTCAGCATGTTCAATTTGACCACATATGAGAATGATATTGCGTTGGTGTTTCTAAATGATTCGGTGCCCGTGAATTTCACCAGATCTCAACCAATATCGCTTAACACACAAGAAGTTCTCGATAATACAGTTTGTCAAGTGACAGGCTGGGGTCAAACTGAAAACGTAACATAATTGACTTCTTGCCTTATTGTGTTTAATTTTCTGATATTCTCACCTTACTTTTCAGGGTTATTTATCGGATGTGCTGCTAACAGTTGATGTGCCCATAATTAATGACACCGCTTGTGCCACTCAGACGAATTTCGCAACCGGTATATTACGCAATGGCATGCTTTGTGCTGGCTATCCCGAAGGACAGCGTGACGCCTGTGGTGGCGACTCGGGTGGTCCGCTGGTATGTAACAATAAACTGGCCGGCGTCGTCTCGTGGGGTATTGGTTGTGCTCTTCCAAATCTACCTGGTGTCTATACAAATGTATCGTATTGGTCGAAATGGATTGAAGAACATTCGAGTGTTAGTGGAGGTGTGGGTAAAAATGAAATTTCTACCTTCTTGGGTCTTCTAGCAGCTGCCTGTGCTTTGTTGTTGAACAGTTAGAGTTTGTTGCTCTTTTGGTGATATTTTATTAGCTTGTATGTAGGGAAGTATATGTTTAATAAAAAACAAGAAACAATAATGATTTTTTATTTGGCATAAAACAAGATTTTATATACATATAATTAGGGAAATCAGGTAAATCCACACCTTTAAACTTTGACTAATCTCCAAGTCTAATAAGCGCCTGTGACGTCAGAAATTGCAATCTAAATATTATCGAATCAAATTTTGAGAGTGTAAATATTGTAAAAACGAGAGAAGAACGAGTATGGAAGCGGTTGTTTTATGAGCAAGCTCGTACTCTTGGCATCGATTTGGGAAACGTTGGGCGATAAGATCTCATATAGACGCTTAGATTAACTCACAATCGAAGCGATAAGTGGTTATTGGGCAATGCCCAAGCAATCCAAATGTTAAAAATATAGTAAATCTGTACATTCCAAAGAATGTAAAAAATACTTGAGTTTCCTTGACTCTAGGTTTGCTGATAAAGTTTCTATTAAATTTACAGATCATTCACAGTGAATACTGTGAATAATCGACGGAGAGTGTCAGCAAACTCGATTACGAAATATAAATGAAGTTCTCCCACAGGGTTAAAGGTACTTTTCAGTAGTAACCCAGAGTCAAGTTCGAATTTCTGAAGGCGACCTTAGGTTAGCGAAAGAGCCGTGCTAGAAAGAGAATCCTCATACTTCACTTCATCGTACTTCACTAAGCGAGATGCAAAGGAGAAACAGTACGCCCAATATGTGCGGAAAATATCGTATTAATAATGTTTCAGAACAAGCAGGCAAGCAGGGAACATGTAACTGGCTTCGGAGAGTACGTACTATTCGGAAAAATAGTTACCTTGGCGCAGATTTTAATATGTAAATCTCATGACGAGAAATATGGAATGAATGCAAAAGCGGTTCTGAGTAGGCAACGGCTCCATAGTGGAGATTTTTTGAGTGCCTGTTACGGCGTAATGATTATGTGGTCCTATCGGCTGATATCTCTCCGGAGGGTTTTCCAATATATGTGATTTCGCGTCGATTGCCAACTTTAATTTCTAACATGCCAAGGTGGATAAAACCATTTATACGACTGAGCCTTAGTTCATTGCTTAGGAAATTTGGCATCGACATCATATTTTCCAATAATATGAGTTCTTCTTTTTTCCTTACTGGCGTGGCCGAGTTAACAACATTGCGTCATTAGTTTCTTCTTTACGTTGTTTGGTGAAAGGAACTTCTCTACCCGGCCCTGTCAACGGACTGGAGGTCTTTCTCTTCCTCTGCTTCAACCCGTGTGTACTGCAGCGAAAGCTTTCTAGAATTGCTCATCTGGACTACGTCACTTAGCCATCGCTGAACTATGTCAATGTCACCGTACAACTGGTCATTCAATCGGCGGCGGTATTCGCCGTTCCCAGCTCGTAGAGGACCATAAATCTCAAGCGAAATCTCTCTTTCGAAAACACCTAACGCCGATTTATCAGTTGTTGTCATTGTCCATTCCGCACCCTATAGCAGGATGGGGACGATGAGCGACTTGGTAGAGTTTGGCTTCGTTTGTCGAGAGAGAACTTTACTTTTCAATTACCTACTCAGCCCAATGCAACACCTGTTGGCAAAAGAGATTCTGCGCTGGATTTCCAGACGGACATTGTTATTGGTGTTGATGCTGCCTCCCAGATAGACGTAATTATCTACGACTTCAAAGTCGGGACTGTCAACAGTGACGTGGGAGCCGAGTTGTCACATGGTTGGGTTAATTTTCGGCGGTGTATTCGATCGTCAAAGACATAAGGCCTTACCATTTGCTGCTGGGGTGTGTTGGATTTGTAAAAGAGCGTAATTGAAATGAGAAATCAGAATATCGCATTTTTCACAGCTGCCTTCGGTCCATCGATAAGGAATACAAAGTCAACAGAGCAGATATTTAAGCGTAGTAAATACTCAGTCGGTTAAGAACTGAAATGCTACCAGTCGGAGTCTCCATTGTTGTGGCGGGAAATTTTGCGTTTGCCTGATTAGATTAAATTACGCGAGTACTAAGAATTGGATTTCCATAGCAAACGAAATACCGCCCACCAGCCAAAATATCATGGCATTTCAGTTTATACCATCGACCATCGAGGACGTAAGCATTTCAAGTGGTCGTGCCTATTGATTTATGATCGTTAACTGTGGGAAAGTTTGCAATATAAACAGCGAATAAAGATAAAGAAATATTAAATAATTTTTGGTTTTTTTTTTTTTTGAAAATGCTTTTTTTTTTTTTTGAAAATGCTGTTGAAAATAGTACTAGCACTAATATTTATTGTCTTCTTACAGACGCAATTAACCGGTGAGTTGTTAAAAAAACTTAAAAATTCCACAAATTTATGTATAAAGTGTTTTCCACTAAGAGGTGTAATCTTGAATAGCCCGATTTTCCGGTAGATGTCACTTTCGAAGCTGTAATTTTTTTTTTACTTTTGACAAGTACAGTAATAATAATATAAAAATGGAACGATAGACGCTTCAATAATGGATTGAAATTCACAATAAAAATGATGTAAACCTGCCAGAATTGGGTCAAGTTAGTGGTGTGAAGAAGAGAATACGTGCAGGTCGCTCAAAGAGAACTGAGAATTAGCCCAAAGTGTTGAAGAAAGCCCAGGTTGGTTCACTCCTCGTCGTTCTTCGGAATTGGGCATTCCACAAACGCCATTACGTTATTAAAGCTTATAAATCTCAGTTACCACAGGAAATATAGTCGCCCGATTATGAACAACAGCGGGTATTTGATAATCAAATCCACAAAATGCATGAAAATGATCCGAAATTTCATTGCAAAATCATCTTGAGTAGCGAAACCCACTTCTACCTCGATAGCAACGACAATGAGCAAAAAACTGTCGCATCTATATTATATAATTGGCGCTTTGTAACCGCTGAAGCAATTTTCGGCCGAGCTCCTCCTCCGATTTGTGATTTTGTGTCTTGATGTCTTTCCAACAAATTGAACGACCTACAGTTTATACTAAGCCGCCTCGGAACGGCTGATGGTTTTTTATGAAGAGTTTTTGATTTTCACGTCAGAGCTACACTCGGAGGGGTGGACATTCCCTGCCGAGGGGCGACCGCAATTAGAAAATTTAACTTAATTTCTTATTTAATTTAATTTTCTATAACTTTTTGGATATTTGTATGACACCAGAATTTGAACCCGATTCTTTCGAATGGCATTACGCAATGCTAACCACGCGGCTACCGCATCTGCGGCGCGTAAAACCCAAGATTTACTGTGTTGAAAAGCCTCAATGCGTAACTGTTTGGTACGGTTTAGGGTCCGGCAGGGTCATTGGACCATACCTTTTCGAAAAATTATCCGAACCGTTTTATCTCTCGAAGAGGTGATGGCAATTGGCCACCGATATATTGTGTTTTAACACCTTGCGACTTCTTCCTTTGGGCCCACGCGAAAGATAAGGTTTACACCAACAGACCAAAGATGAGTCAAGACCTCAAAAATCGAACTCGTGAAGCTATTGAGTACATACAACAGCCACAGCCAGGGGTTTGTTGTTGGAAAATTTCATAAAAAAGGATTCCGACCTTCCGTGAAGGTCATTTGGCTGTTACTGTTTTCCATTATAAATGGCATATCTTCCTTTTTTAGCATTCAAATAAACGTCCGATCGGCTATCTCAAAAAATTCCATTTCTCTTTGCATATAAAAATAACACCTCTTATTGGAAAACTTTGTATAGAAAAGAGTAATAGCAAAATATATGCCACACAGTGACCTCGCCGAATGGTCGTTCGGTGAGTTTTAAATTAAATGGACGCATAATCAATGGCACCCGAGCCGAACTGAATGCCACCAAACATCAGGTCTCAATACGTCGACGCACTAGCGATGGTTATTTCTTTGGCACAGGACATCTCTGTGGCGGCTCGTTGATCAGTTCGAATGTAGTGCTCTCAGCTGCGCATTGCTTCGTGAAGTGAGTAATATTTATGTACGATGTCAAATACGATCACTCTTAAATTAATTTTATTTTTATAATTCTTCTCTCCAACCCATACATAACAGTTATGATATCAACAATGGCACTTATCGTCCGGTTACAGATTATATTGTTGTGATGGGTAATTTGGATCGCTTCCAACGCAATGAATATACTTTAATATTTGATATCAAACAAATTATATATAACATGAGTATTTTCAATCTGACTACTTATGAGAATGATATTGCTTTGGTGTTTCTGAATGACTCGGTGCCCGTGAATTACACCAGAGCTGCAGCAATTAAAATGAACTCCCAGCAAGTGGCCGATAATACCGTTTGTCAGGTGACAGGGTGGGGTAGTACAGAGGAGGTAAGTTTTATAAATATTTTATATACATAAGTGGATATATGAGAGTATGTATATATGTTTTTCTGTACACATCTCTTAAGGGTTACTTATCGGATGTGCTCCTAACTGTAGACGTGCCCATCATCAATGAATATGTTTGTGCGAACGAAATGAACTACCATCCGAGTCTGATTAAGGAGGGCATGCTTTGTGCCGGTTATTTGCAGGGTGGACGTGATGCTTGTGGTGGAGATTCCGGTGGTCCGCTGGTGTGCAACAATATATTAGCCGGTATTGTTTCGTGGGGTATTAGCTGTGCTGTAGCCGGACAGCCGGGGGTCTATACAAATGTATCCTATTGGGCACCGTGGATTGAATATCATACCGGCATTCAAATTGAAGAAGAAGGTGGTAATAACGGTACAGAAAGTGGGGGAAATAACGGTGGTGAAACCGGGGGCAATAACGGTACAGAAAGTGGGGGAAATAACGGTGGGGAAACCGGGGGTAATAACGGTACAGAAGGTGGAGGAAATAACGCTACAGAAACTGGTGGTAATAACGGTACAGAAAGTGGCGGAAATAACGGTACAGAAACTGGTGGTAACGGTGGTGGATCAGACTTTCCTCACATTTCCCCTCTAATGACAATAATAACAGTTGCTTGTGCGCTAATGATGAATGCCTAAAAAATAATGTTAAATGTAGTAAATAAAGAAAAATAATAAATTATGTAAAGTTTTTGTTGTTTTGAATCCCAACCAACACGATTTAAGTTAATACAGAAAACGACATTAAATTAATACAAAAAATCTACCCTCAAACAAAACTGAGTTATAAGCCAAACCGAAAAAAATAAATAAATTAAAATAAAATTAAAAAAAATTAAAAAAAAAACATAAAAAAATCAGAAATAATTCGAGCGGGGGTCAGTCCATTAGCTTCGGGAATTTAATAATATCATGCCCACGTAACAAGCGACGTGTGGATATATATGTATATATATGAGCAACACTAAACGTTTTTTTGTATTAATTACCAAAAAAACAAATATTCCTCCTAACTACAGCCTCCTTTCGATAGAAAATGTGGCCACTGCCATGCATAGTGCATTTGAGCAAACCTTCGTCATATTCATGTACATGTACATTATTTTTGGTAGCGTTAATTGCTGTTGTTTGTTGAAAAGTCAATTTTTTTTTTTTAAAAAAGATCTTCACACTTTGGAACATCTTCTAATCGAAGTGCACAGCGCAACGAATTTCACGAAGGAGCATTTCCGACATTTAAATTCTCTAAGACACCTCCATATATCAGGTGTACAACTTTGCTTCCTCCATTTCCCGATAGGTGACTGTACCGTCTGAGGCTGGTTGAAATACATAGATGATAAAGCCTTTAAAGTGAGTGTGGACAGTGCCTAACGAATTGTCATCGCCGTTTCACTGACAGTTGTTCTTGTTTTCTTATTATTCATGCTCGAAAATGTCCGTTTATGTGCCTAATTCTTGCCATTTGCGGGAAGTTTTACTTTTCTGTTACAATTCGAAAAAAAATGCAGCTGAAGCGCATCGAAAGCTCTCAGAAACTTACGGTGATGCTGCTCTGAGTGGAAGAACGTGTCGGGAGTGGTTTCTACGTTCAAAATGGTGATTTCGATGTCGAAAACAAACATGGTGGTTATGATTTGTATTTGGTGGGATCAGCTCGGTGTGATTTACTACGAGCTCTTAAAACCGGGTGAAACCATCCCAGGACATCGCTACCGAACGCAATTGATGCGCCTTAGTCGCGCGCTAAAAGAAAAGCGGCCACAATATCAAGAGAGACATGACAAAGTCGTCCTCCAACACCACAATGCTCGGCCTCATGTCGCTAAAGTGGTCAAAAAGTACCTGGAAACGCGGAAATAGGAAGTCTTGCCCCCACCCACCGTATTCCCCAGATGTCGCCCTTTCTGACTTCCACCTATACCGTTCGATGGCACACGGCCTGGCAGATCAACATTTTCAATCCTTCGAAGAATTGGAAAAATGGATTGCTTCATGGATAGCGTCAAAATAGCACTCCTTTTTTCGAGCCGGGATCCGAAAATTGTCGGAAAATGGGAGAACGTTGTCGCTAGCGAAGGACAATACTTTGAATAATATATCTGTAAGCACTTTTTCGCAAAAAAGCTTTTAATTTTGAAAAAAAAAAAGGCGGAAGCAAAGTTGTACACCTTATATTTAACACTCCCATAAACGAGTTACCTGAGGATATTTTCTCCTCACTTACGGAGTTAAAAGAGTAGGGATTAATACGAAATAACTTGCGTGCTCTTCACGCAGGTTTTCTGTCAGCACAGAAGAAACTGTGTTGGTTGGACCTTAGCGGCAATCAGTTCGAATGCTTGCCTTCGGGTTTATTAAAAGAAACAAATTTTCCTTATCAGCATCAGCAATCAACTGAGTAATTTTTTGAATATAATAGAAGCTACCAAATCACTAAGATATCTGCACATACTAGACCTGAACGATAACACATTCAAAAGTGTTTCGAGCACAAATTTATATGAAAATAAAACGCTCTTTTCTATAATTTAAGAATTAAATTCATCGCCACAACTACCACCTGGAAACCCAAATAAGGCTATTAAATCAATCCCACCGAAATCCCTTGACGAAGCAGCTACCGTTAGCAGCATCAATATTAGCTTCAACCCCATAACACTCTTCTATACCAATTGGCATAACGAAACACGCACAAGATCGCCTGTCTTTATGGCTGTGACAAAACTGAATTCTAAGTATTTTTCATTATCCTTGCCTGAAGAAACTTCTGCACGCAAAAGAGTAATATTTTTTTCTAGAAAATCCTTAATGTATTATGTGCACAATCCGAGTTTTGTTATAAATTTTAGTTTCCCATCATGTCATTAGTAGTTCAGGGACTAAGCACAGTTGTCAAGGGATTTTAAATCGCTTGAATATTATAGATCGACTGTTGTGTGATGATGGCTTTCAGGGTCTTTTCAGTAGAAAAGTTTTTGAGGTTGATTTACCTATTTGATTTCGTGGCAGAGTAAACTTCCGAGTTTCGCGAGAAAAATTATCGTGATCATTTTATCAACTACTTGACTTTACTCGATTGTGAGTGGTCTAAAACGTTGTTAGTCGATGTGCCGATTTGACTCTTTATTTATTTGCCCAACAGCGAGAGAAAGCTTTTACGAGTAACAGCTGATTTTCATGGTATGAAGCTTTAAAAAGCTTTAAACACAATTTTAGCACGGAAAAATTGTTCCATATTCTGAGCAGTTAACTCAAGAGATTAAGAGAGCAGACGTAGTAATTTATAGTAAATTAACACAAAAAATTTAAAAATCAAAATGAAAGAAAATATTAGATAGAAAAATCAACAAAAACCGAGTTTGTTGTGTAAACAAAAATTAATAAGACACAGCAGAGAGCACAGAAAGCCATAGACGGAGAGAGAGAGAGGGAAAGAGAGAGGGAGAGAGGGAGAGAGAGAGATAGAGAGAGAGAGAGAGAGAGAGAGAGAGAGAGAGAGAGAGAGAGAGAGAGAGAGAAGACTTGGTACGATTGTACGAAAAAAAGGTTTTTGTTAAGCGTTTTAAAGTGGCTCTTAAACTAGCTAACAGTGTTTTTGAGTACAGACCAGGTTCACCAATAAAATCTATTAATGCCTGGAAAAAATAAAACTTAATTTTTTTTTAAAGGACTATAATAATTGTAGTCCCCTAGACAACCATTGAAGTTTTGACTTCAAAAAAAATTTGTTTTTGTTTTTGTGATTTTTTGAAAAAATTTATTTACTTAACGCTTACTTAATTATTAAGACTCATATTAATTTGACTCGACTTACTGCAAACATACCTACATACATATCTACGCTAAAAATGTTTGGGAAAATTTTACAAAATTTATTAATTTTTATAATTTTTTTGTTTATAGAATTAACTTAAGTGTAAAAAAGCATTAATATTGCATGTATGTTGATAGTTATTTTCTTTTTTCAGTAAATTATAAAAAAATATGCCGAGTTTATAGTTTGCAAAATGTATAATTTAATTAGGGTAGGTTTACAATATTAAAGGAAGCACCGCAAATTCTCTTCGAAGATATTATTATTACTCAAAACCTGCTGATACTCCAGCTCAGTGTTTCGCTCATCTACGAAGCTCGTTTATTACCTTCGCTTTCAAAAGTTATAGCTAACGAGCAGTTAGCAGACTCTCAGTCGCTCCTATTTTTATTCTTAGTACCAGAAGACCGTTTTAACGCATCCGAAGAGCTTTTTCGGTCTTAGTTCCGGATGATATTATTCCATCATCATAAGTTCTACAATGATATCCATACCAAACTATGTATGGTGTGGTGTAGTCTCACTTCTGGATATGCAGTTAAAGGCCCAGTTCTATGCTCACTCTTTTCCTACTCTTCCTTCCGAAAACATGAGCAAGATTCGATACAAAACAGGTGAGCTGCCTTGTGTCGTGCTTTGGTGTATCTCCTTTTATATATTCGGTTTGAGTGTTCGTTGAAGTCTCACTGCAGCGTCTGTACGACCAGTGGTGCGGCTGCAAGTGGACGACGATATTGAAGCAATCAACTGACGTGCTATTGCCGACTCGGCCAGAAAAGTTTACGTCCATAAATAAAGAAAGATGTGCTTTTTTAAAATACTTTCTCCGAGGAATTCGCTAAAGTTATCTAATTCGTTGAGAGTGTCTTACGTGTAAAAACTTAATTATAATAAATATTTACAAAAGTTATCGTTTTTTCCATTTACGCTTTTGCACTTAGTCTCTACAGCACTAATAATCTAGGTTGTTCTCCCTCTCGGTTACTATGGTATCTTGACTGGTATGAATAGACGTGGATCGCCGATTTTCGGGCTCAAGCGCACTATCACCTGATCATCACCATCGCCGACCTCGAGAAAGGAATTCCAATCGGCTAGAAAATAGAAACCGTTTTTACGTTTCGGCGGTTTTGGCTCCTCCTTATTGGTTTCGGCGCCACCGAATGAATCCTCAAGATCGGCAAGTGAGCCGTTGCGGGATTCCTCCGTCGTTGTTGTTGTACTGCTACTGCTCTCTTCGTTTGCGCTACTGGAACTATCTGCAGCCGCTACTGATTCGGAGGGCTCTGCCATGATATCCGTATCATCCTTGGCTGCACTCTGTTCGGCGCTTGCTGTGGTGCTTACGACAGTTTCACTAAGCGAGACTCCATTGGCTGGCGTTACACTTTGTCGTCGTTGCTTGCTGGTATCGTCGGCGGGTGTTTGTTGCTTCTTCAGCGTTTCCAAATATTTGGCGTCGGCTTTGCGCAGCAAATCGGATGATACTGTGAGATTTAGACGCTGCAGTTCTTGCAAATTGCCAATCAAACGCTGTAATTCATGTAGATCTTCGGTTATGTCAGTGATGTCTGCAGCCGGTGTCGTGGTGTGCTCCTCTTCCTTAACCTCACCTTGCACCGACACGTTGCCGGGTACATCAGGCGATGCCAGCTGGTAGTTCATCTCGCTGAACTCACCCATCAGATCATCCATACTACCGGGATCCATGTCGCCGTACACATCGGTATCGCTACGTTTCTGAAAGCCAAGCGTTTGCTCTGTGGATACGCCGATTTTGTTTGCCGCTCGTTTTATGGCGGCTTCAATGATTTTGGTCGCGCTAAAAACCGGCAGATCCAATGTGCTGGAGGTGGTGGACTTCGGTTCTTTAGGCGTTAGTGATTTTGGTGTGGTTAGCGAGAAGAAAGCTTCCTTTTCGCTAGATTCCTCAACGTCATTCTCAGCGCTTGTCGGCGTCTGATTAAGTGTGGGGAATATAGTGCTTGCATACTTATGAACGGGCTGTTGGGCCGTTACTACATGTACGTCCGTGTGCTGTTTTGGTCGCTCGGCGGTGACTATATGCACGGGTTCCACTGTGACTGTTTCAAGTTGTTTCTCAGCACGCTCAGCGTTCGCATGTTTCGTGAGTTTGGTTTCAATTTGGTCGGATAATTCTGTCGGCAGCGTAACACCTAACTTTTCCAGCTCTTGCGCGTTGCTCAAGAGCTTCTGCAACTCCTCAAGATCAGCCTTCTGCTGCACATTGTCACCGCTCTTCGGCTTTTGTGCTTCGTGTGGCTTGTGTGTGGCTATAAACCGTGGCGGTTCTTTGGTGACGGTCTTGTAGATCATCGGTGGCTTCATGTTCTTATACGAATTACGTTCCTCATCTTCCAACTGCTTGAAAAACTCCTGATAATGCTCGAAATCTTTGTCGTAGTTGGTACTCTTTGGATTTGCTGGCGCAGCCATGGCCAGTTCACGCAGTTCCTCGCTGGATGTGGGCTCCTCTACAGGCGGACTTGCCTTCTTGCCGACATGTGACTTCGTCGCAGTGGCTGAGTGTCGATTTTTCGACTCATCGCGTCGTGTTTCATATGTTTGCTGATAGTCTTTGTTAAGTATGTCCTCGAAGGGTTTGTAGTCGTGCGTCTTCTCTGGATAGATAATTTGTGCGCCATTCGAGTTGTGTACGGTGGGGGTGTGCACTGAAGCTGAAGTTACGAGATTCGTCAAATCGGTGAAGTCGCGTGTGTAACTACCGGCAGTCGGTGCGGGCGTTGCTGGTTGTACAATACCATGTACGCCATGTATTTTGACGCGCTCGAGCTCCTGTACTTTACTCAATAATTTCTGTAATTGCACAAAGTCACTGGGATCAACTTCCTGCAAACTGCTACCGGAACCCGTGTCGTTGGTAATGTCTATGATTTTTTGTGCGAAGTTCTGTGCGCGCTTGCCCGAAGGCTTTGCCGCAGTTGCGGCTGTGGATATTTCAATTCGGCCGAAGTCACCTTGCTCAGCACTCGCCACTTGCTGATAGAGTTCTTGTAGATGCGCGAAATCATTCGAAGGCGTAATTTGCGCGTTAGACTTGCTAGCACTACCCGGCGCATTCACTTTGCGTGTGGTGAAACCAATAAATGGTATGGGAGTATCCGTAGTTGTTTCACGCACGCTCTGTTCATTCTTGGCCGAGTTCAAGCGCTCCAACTGTTGTACGCGATTAATGAGCTGCTGCAGTTGATCGCTATCAGTATCCGTCTTCTTCGGCTTTTGTGCGCTAGCTGTGTTAGTGATACGTTGCGCTAAATCTACCGAACTCATGTGAGAAGAGATGTGAGGTGCCGAGGTTGTTGTGGTCGCCACAGTAGGGGCCGCGGTCGTTGATGTTGTTGTTGTTGTCGTCGGCGGCGGCGGCGGAGGTGACTTTGTTGTAGTTGTGGTTGGTAACGGCGTGGTGGAAGTGGTGCTAGTGCGCGTACGCTCGAGCTCCGCAAAGTACTTTTGCAGCTGCTCGAATTCGCGATAGCTTGGCGCCGGAGTACGCGCTGTGGTTGTTGTGCTGGTAGTGGGTGCTGGCGTCGTACTGGGCTGAGCACGCGCCTGCTCGAATAGACGCTGTAGGTCCGCATCATCTAAGTTGCCAAGAACTAGAGCACGCTGTGTCGTCGTTGTTCTGGGCTTTGGTGTTGTCGTTGTCGTAGCGATGCCACGTCCACCCTGTCTGGCGCGCGCCTGCTCATACAAACGCTCCAGCTCGCGATCATCGGTAAGCAGTTTTTGTAGATTAAAAACATCATTGGGCGCCAGTGCGCCGCCGAGACCACCAAATCCACCGAGACCACTCAGACCGGCTAACAAGCCACCGCCGGCTGCCGGACGTGCAGCCTGCACTTGTGGCTTCCTAGTCGTAGTGGTGGAGCTGGTGGTAGTGGTTCGGGCATTTAGTTGTTCGAGTGTCTGGAGCTGCCGCAAGACCTGTTGTAGTTGTGCAGCATCTGCTGGCTGTGAGCTGCTTGTGGCCGGTGTGGATTGTGTTAGTGTAAGTTCGTTGAAACGATTTAACAAATTCACCGTGCGTGGTGTAGGCGTTGCAAACTGCAGTGGTCCGGTGCGCGCGGAATTGGCACTCGGCGTGATTGTCTTCAGCACATTATCGGGATTGACGCGAAGTTTTTCCAATTCTTGTAGATTTTCAAGCAATTTACTAAGCTGGTCTGTGCTCGCGCCGTCCGTTTGATGATTCCCGCTGTTACCGAAATTGATATCGATATTGGGATCGATGCGTCTGCGCGGCTTTTTCGGTTCAATCAACTTGGGTACGCCGTTCGTTATTAAACTAGGCGACGTGGTGGGCGGAGGTGTTGTTGTAGTTGTCGTGCTGCTTGTTGTCGGTCGTATAGTTGTAGTGGGACTCAAAACCTTTGGATTCACATTCAAACGTTCTAGTTCTTGTAAATTTTCCAACAACTTTTCCAGCTCACTACTCGCACCGGCAGCCGTACCACGCCTTGGCAACTTCGCCGTGGAGATCTCACTGCCGCCAACCGTCAATTCAGCACTATGCCCTTTCGCTGTGTTGCCCTTCTTCAAATCTTTACGCTTGCGTCCACCAACTATGCCGAAGCGTGTGAGATAACCCTCTACCTCGGGCTTGACGCGTATCTCTTCGCCGATATTCAGTGGTTTAAAACTCGAATAGGCATCGGCTTTGATCTTCGGCGACAGACTGTAGCCTTGTAGTTCTTTGAGTTCGGAAAGGCTTACAGTTTGTGGCACATATGTTGAGATTACCGGTTGTGGCGCACTCTCCGCGGGGTAGTAGTCATCGATTGTGAAACGATTGCGTGACTGCGTTTGGCTGACGATGCCCAAACTCTCCAAAACATCAGCGACGGGACGCACAGTTGTTATCGCTTCTGGTTTCGGCTTGCGTTGCTTAAGAAACTCAGCATTTTTAGCACTATAATGACTGCTGTAGCGTTGTAGTGGCTTCGGTGTGGGATTACGTTCCACATTCGTATCATAATCGCCGCCATATATGCTATTTGTTACAGGTTGAAATCCGCTTGGCACTTGCCGTACCGATGATGTCATCTTAAACACAACCGGTGCTGGTGGCGGTGGATGGTATGTTGTCGGACTGGGCGCAAAGGTTTTGAGAGTTTTCAATGAATATGCAGGCTTATAAGTGGTCGCTTCGAAGTTGCCCATGGGTACAGTTTCGGTTTTCACCGGTGCGCTGGGATCGGGTGTAAGGAATTTAATAGGCGGATGTGATGTGTAGGCATCAACTACCTTCGTTACAGGCGGACGTGTGTAAAGCTCCTGTCGACGGAAAGAAAAGTTGTTAATGTTAAAAATAAACAGTTAAAGCTTACACGGTGGACTCACCTGTATATTCTCTTCGGTATTATTGTCCGTATTATATGGCAACACCAACATCAACGCACGCATGCTATCCGCACGTCCCATATCGCCAGCTGCAATACTCTTTTGGTACTCCTCACGTGTCACCTTCTCATAGAGCTCCTCGATTTCGCCCCTGCAAAAATTAATGAGGCTTAAATGAAGGTCCTTATCTATATGTAGTTTTATAAGATATATTTTCCGCTTGTTGGGTTTTTGGCTTAGGCAGTTTCTGTTCTTCAATTAACACTCTGCCGCTTAAAACAACGGGATTTTTAATCACCGATGTTCTTCCAACTTTCAAGCGCTCTTGTGACGATCTTCAATTTATTTAAGTAAGCCAGAAACTAACTAGGAAACTTTCTCAGGATGAGATGAGCTCTGTGGCCGTCTTTTAAATGATACGGCACTGTATACTCGAAATGAAACCCTCTACCCAGGTCTGCACATATATCACTATATTTTGAACTTTCTATTCAAGCCTGTGGTTTTTCTAGAAGGTAGGACCACTGTGCGCCCGAAAAAGCTCCGAGCAGTTTGAACTTTGTGGTTTTTGGTCATTTGGGACTAAGAAGTGGTCGTCATCGTCATGGTATGTGACATTAGACTAAAACTACTCTCTGATTTCTACATCTATCTGGAGACTTTGCATTTGGAGACTCTCCAAAGGACTAAAAATAACTACATGGATATTCCATGCGAATAATTTAACCGTCTTGGTGTCCAGCAAGAAAATTGATGACCTAATGCTCGAAGATATCGAGTAAACTTTCCAATCTTTCAAAGCATATCAGAGTGGACATCGAGTCGTTCGAGCTCTGTACGACTGTTGCTCAGACAAGCGAAAGAACTTATAATCGCCCTGTGAATTCCATACACAGCATGTCAAGATCTCCCTGTTTTTTGTTGTTATTGTAACAGCAAATTATTCCCCGAATTGGTTTTCAGGGAATATTGCGGGAGTGACAGTCCTTGGCCGGATAAAAATCCGGGTCGTTCCGGTATAAAGACCCGACTGTCGGGAAAACTGTTGGATTTTAGTAGCCTCTTACGACAGGCATGCCTTAACACGGGTAAATTCTTGAGCCCCTAACCGGCAGGGGTTGTCAAGATCTCCCTATTTTCTCTTCCAGTAAGCACTGTCACGAAACACTAGAGCTGTCTCCTAACACCTTTGTAGTTCCTGGTGCAACAATGCTACTATTTCAGTTTTTATCCTGGGCTTAATCATCTAATATTTATAGTCTTGCATACCAACTAGGCTGGGAGATACTAAAGTTCTCCATTGGCTGATCAAAATTTTATGGGATGTAAATTCAAATTCGATCTCAAGTGCCACTTCATTGTTCAAGCTCTCAGTGGGATAGATTGCTTTCAGGGTAGCAATAACTACGTAGTTAGAAGCAGCCGAAACTTCTCTTGTAAAACTTTTCTCTTCTCAAGAAATTGAAGTATTTTTCATATCAAAATTATACTCACCTCGTCAAACGCGGCAACGACGGATCTTGTGCCAAAATTCTCTGTACCTCTTCGATCGTCTCCTCCAGCTCGGGTGGTTTGAAATGTGTTGACTTCTCATTTTGAATTACGTAGTTTCGGGAAACAGGTAACGGCTGATCAATAGTGGGTAGAGCTTTGAATGGCTGGATATGCAATAGTATAAGACAAAGTAGAAGTATTTTCGGACGGTGATACATTATGGCTAGAAAGAAAAGAAGAAAATGCATGATTAGATCGGGAAGAATAGATGAACTAAACCTAAACTAAGATTAATTATTAAAATACATATAAGAGGTAAATTACAGCCGTGAGTTGAAAGAAAAAGAGTGGATAGTGAGGCGTAGAACTGTCGTCTAGCTGATACGGTTTTCCCTTATTCTCAACAACTCTTCTCTCCTCTCGATAGCTGCAGCTGTGGAGTTTTCGATCGATACAAAGTAGTAGTTGTTTTCAAAAGTTAATCCTCATTTTGTCAAAATATAACTCGAAAGGTATAAATCTTTGGATCCGAAGAGCTGAGGGTTTCAAAATGGCGAGTCTCCCTTAGGTTCAGCAGTTTTGTGGACTCGAAAAAAAAATGATCATTTTCCAGAAAAATGGAGATACCTACAGTCTATACCAAGCCGCTTCCGAACGGCTGATCATTTTTTTATGAGGAGCGGAAGGTTTGAACTAGAAGATTCAACTTAAATTTTTATTTAAATTAATTTGCTGTAATAATTTTTGATCCAAAATAAAAGTTGATCATAAAAATCTCTCGGCCGTACGGAGACACGGTGAATTAATTTTAGATCCCCCATTTGTTGGGAAAACAACCAGACGTACAGCTCAAATCGAAGGAGATTCTCATCCGAAAATCTTTTCAGCGGTTAAAAATCACCAGTTTTATGCCTATGTGTCAAGGAGTTAAGGAGAAGAAACCTCATGGACCGAACTTGCATCTACGAAACCCCACAGTGGATGGTAACCGGTGATGAAAAGTGAAGACGAAGGGCATTTAGTCGATATAAACGGTCTCAAAGCCACGACCTGGAAGCTTTGATGTATGTTTGATCGGATTGGCATGGAATAATACACAATAAGTTGCTTCTCTACGACCAGATTCTTAATTCGCATCTACCATGTCAGCAATTGAACCATTTGAAGAAAGCAGAGGGAGAAGTATTTCTCTGGTCTGGCACACATCGATATTGACTCGCCAGAGGCATGGAGAGTTTAGTTGGGAGATTTTTATGCGGACCTTGCATCAAGTGATTATCATCTATTATAAGCTGCTCCTCTACGACCAAACTCTTAACTTTGACTTTTACACTCAACCTTTGGACCGTCTGAAGGTAACAATCTCCCCGAAGCGCACATCTTTGACCAACAGTAGGAGTAGTATTTTTCATTAGGACAACGCCAGACCATACATATCGATAGTGACTCGCCAGAAGCATGGAGAGTTTGATTTGAAGGTGCTTATGCTTCCACCTTATAGTCGGATCTCGCACCAAGTGATTACCAGCTGTTCCTGTCTGTGAGGAATGATTTGGCTGCTGAAGATTAGGCCTCAAGAGAAGGCTGTGAAAATCGATTGTCTCCATTTTTTGCCATTAAAGAGAAGGGTTTCTCTGGGTGAGGCATATTTGACATAAATCTGATATCTCTAACTATCATAAATGTAGCCTTCAATTTCATACAAAAATAATGGACGAATTTTTACTAGACCTAATTAAATATTAAAATTGAACAATATTCTTAAAAATGATAACGCATAAAAAATTGCTGATTTGAATTTTCTGCTAAAAATAATCAAAATTTTGCCAAAGAAAAAAAATATTCAAACAATTTTCCTTAATAACCTCACAATTACAGCGAACGCTGCTTCTACAACATAAACTACAATTACATATGCAATCACTGTTTTAAGTGATTTTTTTTCACAAAAAAAAAAAAAATACGAAAACATTTAAAATAAATTTTAACAACCAAATTAAATCGCTTACTCACACTCATACATACAAACATTTAAATTAACTCAGCTTCAATTGAACAACGCTCGGGCAACAGCAATACACACACAACTCAACAATTCGCGTTAGAGCATTAAACACTCAACTTTGATAGCGATTTTATTGCATAATCTCTAAACAAAAGCCGCTCATAATTATTAAATGCATACATACATACATATATACATGTATGCATAAATTTAACGATATTTAATTGCAAGCATACTTTGTCTGAGCAAATTATTGTTGGGATGCGTAAAAATGTTTGTATGCATATATGTGTGTATGTCAGATGAATTCAATTTATGTATTATGTATGTTTCTTGTACCCCTGTCCGAATGCTGGACTTTAACACGAAATCACTTGGACTTGTTTTGGATTTTTATTTTCATTTTCATTTTCATTTTTTTTTAGCACTCAAGGCGCCGCCAATTAATCGCAATATTCGCATTAGACGCAATCACAATTATTTTATATGAGTCTTCTTGTCGGTGATTAAGATTCTGTAAGCTTTTTGAAAAAAAAAAAAATTGAAAAAAAAATTATATAATTGTATCAAATTGTACTTTTGCTTCTCGAGATGTGTTGTTTTTCAAAGAGCGTACAGCTGGCTTAAATGCTTTGGATATTAATCGAGCCGCATTGCGAGCTCAATGAAAAGTTACGTTTGAATTCAAGTAGGTGTTGAAACGAATTTTCATATCAGGGACACCAACACGAGCTGTTCTAAATTTGCAATTGCGCTGAAATGCTGATTGTATTCAAAGAGCAAGCAAGGCCAGGGAAATTAGTATATAGACAGAACCCTCAAAGTACTGGCTCTAGTAAAAAGTCATACATTATTTTTCCATTAAATTTAATACTTTATTAACCATAGGTAAAATTATTCGCTTTATTTCAAGTATGTACCTTTTTCCATTTTGAAAGTAATATCATAATGGCTCTCTCATAGAAACTCTTCTCTTTAATGGCCAAAAATGGAGACAAACGATTTTCACAGGCTTCTCTTGAGGTCTATTATGCAACAGCCAAATCATTCCTCACAGACAGGAACAGCTAGTAATCACTTGGTGAGAGATCCGGACTATAAGACGGATGCATAAGCACCTTCAAATCAAACTCTCCATGCTTCTGGCGAGTCACTATCGATATGTGTGATCTGGCGTTGTCCTAATGAAAAATACTACTCCTACTGTTGGTCAAAAATGTGCGCTTCTGGGCGATTTTTACCATCAGACGGTCCAAAGGTTGAGTGTAAAAGTCATAGTCAAGAGTTTGGCCAAAGAGGAGCAGCTTATAGTTTATTATCTCTTTATTATCTCTTAACAATCCCATCAAACATACAACAAAGACGATTTCCACTATTTTTTCTCCTATAATCCATTAAGTTTTACATATGTACATATGATATATATGTATAACTTTTGTTTTGGAAAATAAAATAAATACATACATATATGGTGGAAAATTCAGTCCGAAAGGGAATTTTTCAAAAAAAAAAAAAACAAAATATGAAAATTCGGTATATTAGCTAAATGATTAATAGGGAAGGCTAGTAAGCGTAGGTAGTTAATGTCAAGCCCTCCAAGTATTTTTTTTTGACATGAAATAAAACTCTTGGTAAAAATCCGTCGGTCGGTCGGGGGCGGCTTAGTATAAACTGCAGGTCCCTCCGATTGTTGGAGAATTATCGAGACGCACACCACAAACTTTGGGAGGAGCTCGGAGGTAAATCGCTTCAGCGGTTATAAAGCGCCAATTATATGTACATATATTTGTAAGCATTTTCATACCTTTATATGTATGTTATTAAATTTTTTCAATTAGTCTCGCCACTCACCACCTGAGTGTAGATTTTTTTCCACACCAAATTTAGCCAGCTGTTCGATGAATTTACCAAATTTAACGCGCTGACATTGAATGCATTCAAATTTACTCGATTTTTTCTTTGTTTTTTTTTTTGTTTTTTTTTTTTAACTATTTTCCCAAGTGAATATGTTTGTTGTATCAACGCGTTACAGATTGATTCATATATGAACTTTTGCTGTTTTTTTTTTGGTTTTTTTGAAAAAAGATACAAATAAAACAAACATAACAACAATAAATTTGCTAATATAGATTTCAGTTTGGCGTTTTCTAATTTTTAAAGACACATAAATGTATGTATATATATATAAAAGTATATATACATAAATATGTGCTTTATGGCAGTTTTTATTTAATTTATTCCTTTTTAATTACATTTATGCTGATTTTAGTTCAAATTTTTTCTCATGAATATTTCTGCCAATCTTTTAGCTATAAAACGAAACTGAATTCAAATTTTTAAAGTCGAAATGTTATTGATTACTTAATTAATTTATTTTTTTAATAAATTTTTTTTTTTTGCAAAACAATAATTAAATATAATGACATATTGAGAATCACTCTCAATTGTGCTCTGACGATTTTTAATTTTCATTGAGAAAATTGATTGAGAAAGGGTTTTTGACGAACGTAGGCCCAAAAAAAAATTAAGAGCCCAAAAATAAAATATTCGGAATAGTTTTATTGGATGAGTGCATAAGTTCGTGCCTTATTTCAAGTGCAAACTAAAATTGAAATTTTTTGAAGAAAGCGCTNCAAAGAGTACCCAACCTTTTTTATATGTTCACACAGCCCAATTAACTGAAACAATTAAGCTATGAATGGCATTACTGAGTTTAGTGTTCACACACGTCGTCAATTGTTGAGTTGAAACAATTAATATTCGGCAGTTGATATTGAACATTTTCAATTTCAAATGCAATAAAAGGAAAACGGTGCATAAATAGCTACGAATTCAGATGAAAAGTAAACGCCGACAACTACAGCAGGTTTTATAGAGAGAATGTTCGATATCGAAAACAATTGGAAAGAATATTTAACAAATACGAACACTACTGATGTGACAGTTCTAATAAGTACTCATTAGTGATAATTACTGTGGCCTACAGTTCAGTATATAAACTGTGCCTTTACCAGAGAAATACCAGCAATAAAGAATCTGTACAAAAAATTAAGTGAATTTAAATTACATATCCAGTCCTTGATACCAAAGGCTTTTGGTTCGTGGTTTTCATTTACAAAAACTGTTGCAATATAATAAAAATATTTGAAGAATTATTTGAGTTCCAATCAATTCCAGAGCCAGTAAAGGATGAGGATTATTTTTTTAATTAAATAAACGTAATGTGTAGTACATGGACGGTTTCTCAACCTGCTTCTCCAACAAATCGAGTACGACCAGCTTATCCATTCTGGGATTAATTATATTATTTTCTCCTCTTCCTTCCCATTCTCTTTCTCTCTCTCACTCATTATGTTTTTATTTTTCTTTCTCTTTATCTCCTTATTTCTCTTTCCCTTTATCTTTCTATTTCTCTTTCTGTTTCTTATTCTCTTTATCTTTATCTTTATCTTTCTCTCGCTCTTTCTCTTTCTCCTTATTTTACTCTTTCTTTTTCTATTTCTCTTTCTCTTTTTATTTTTAATTCTCTTCTTTTTCTCTCTCTCTCTCTCTCTCTTTCTCTTTCTTTTTCTTTTTCTCTTTCTCTTTCTCTTTACACTCCTCTTTCTGTTTTTATTTGATTCCTTCTCCTTTTTCTATTACTCATTCACTTTCTTTCTCTCTCTCTTTTACTTTCTTTTCCTATTTCTCTTTTTTATTTCTTTTCCTCCTCCTCGAAATCTTTTACTTTTTATTACTCTTCCTCTCTTATCCAATCCTTCACGAGCCACTTCTGAGTTCAGAGTCATTCTGCCAACAAATCAGTACTCATTAGCTTAGCAGTCAACAGAGATTCAACCCACATCATCAGCTGTGATTTCAAAAATTAATTCGACGCTTTAGAAAGGTATCTCACGTCACAGGTAACCAGATGCATTCCCAATCGTCTCATATCCGGTGATATTAACCAAAACATATAAAGCTGATTAGCTTCTATTTACCGACGATTTCACTGTGGCCGGATACCAAAGCTAGCCTTAACGAAAAAAAGTTCGACTTGAAAACTTTACAGTAGTTTGCATGAACCCACCCAAAGTTCCCGATAGACTCCTCCACTTAGCATTTCGTGAAGATGTTCAGTTCTCCTCGCTTCCAGGCACAATGGGTAGCCCAATCACTCCTAGAGCGAAGGCGGGGAACGAAGTGCTTGTTGGGAATCAATTAAAATACCCAGTGATCCTTGCCTGCCACGGTCTGGAGTTGGAGCTTCTGTGAGTTCGAATGGTTTCCCGAAAACACCTCTAAGAGTACCCGAATATCAGGTACCTCTCCCTATCTCTTTAATGTCCGCTCTCCGAGACAATTTTTTGTTGTGGAAGACCTGTAATTCACTGATTTTGTCATCTTGGGGTAGTAGAACTCATCACCCTTTTCCACTCTCTTTAACTTTTTCTTGCCCAGCCATGTCCGCACCATATACTTCATGCTTTGAAAAAGAAAGGCAGGATTTTACAAAGGGATTTTAACTTTTACTTAACTTATGCCTAAGAATTAAGTTGATTTTTTTCGAAAGCGTCTGGCAACTTCTAAACAGACACTTTCCAAATTTTCTACTTTATAAAACTTTTTAAAATCGAGCGCCTATAAATGTCACTCTCAACAGCTTCCGATACTTGATCATCCAGTGGTTCTTCCGGTTCACGCTTTAAGCGATCCTCCTCATCGGTAGGTTGGTTTGGTGGCATACGATAGAATGGCGTCAATGGTTTCACGATATACTGGAATGAGACCATATACATCTCATCAATATCACGTAACGATTGAAATGCACGCACACCCTCATCCTCCACCAGCGAATAGATTAGATGTGATAGTGATTGAAAATTATGCGCCTCGACTAATTGTTGCTCCCGCAAAGTGATGCCGACAAAGGAGACGCGTAGCATTGACATATGACGTGCCACTTCAAAAATGCTATTGAAGAATTTCGCCACAAAAACCGGATCCGCCCTTAGCTCCGGATGCAAATAAAATTCGAAAAGATGCAAGCCATTGAACTCATGCTCCGGATGCTCTTCGCCATATTTGAGTACCAGCATGCGGGTGAGTAGCATAAATCGGGAAAAAAGTGTGGTGGCATCAAACATTTGCATCCAAATAGTCCAAGAACGCCACTCCTTCGTCATGCATTTCATCAGCGCCACACCGAATATCTCATTCGACTGTTCGTCGACGATCATAATGCTGCATTCGTCGCGGAGCACATGCATCACGTAACGCCGATAAGAATCCTCTACGTCGGGCAGCTCGTGGATTTTCAGATGCGCAAAGAGAGGGTTGAGCTGAAAAGATCGCTCCACCATTAAATCACAAATACGTGGCAGCCATTTTTCCGGTATATCACGTATGTAAATATGTCGTTGCTTCTCCTCAAGTGTCACGCCAATGTGCTCATCCCAATAGATTTGTAAGGACATCATTTTTAGGCGCAGAGAATTTCGAGATTACACGAGTTTGAGTCGATAAATTTGTGTGTTGTTCAGAATGTGCAAATTCAAATTTTGAGCAAAAATTTATTGTTAAGACGTAAACAATTTTATTTGAACGTAAAAAAAAATACAAAAAAAAATTTACAAAATTTGTTTTATAAAGAAATCAATTGAAATCAATCAATAATGAATGACGAAAATTAAAAAACAATAGAATAAGGTTAGGTTAAGTTAAAGTGGTTGCTCACTTAAGTCTCCAAACTGGCCCATTGTGATACCACTGAGAATCCTAGTAGCGTGCTATATCTAGTCAAACCAATATGAGGAGCTTGAGAAGCTTAGCAATCAACGGTTCTTTGTAAACGTTATTTCGTTCAAATCTCTAAAGGTGACTACACTTAGAGTCTTTACCTTTTTCCTCTAAAGTTCGGAATATTCACCAAGGAGTTGACTAAAGGCTTCATGATCGTCTTCCTCTCCCACAAAAGTCGTTTGATCGTGCCTCTCCGCGAGCCCGTGCAATTAAAGATGTCTCGTAAGAATACCTTTCAGTGTAGATGTTTCATATCCTTTTTAACGGAAGCTTGTCCATCATTCTATTATCCGGTATGTTACTGTGATGTAGCACCCATCCTAGGTTCAAAAAGAACTGCTTAGCTATAACTTTAGGTTATCTGAGCTGAATACCTAAGCCTACGCTCACTTTTTTCTAAGCTCTAGCCAGATATCACATAAGTTCTCAGGCAAATTTGTCATTTATTATAACCCATATGTCTGCATACGCTATGACTCTGCTTCCCGCCTGCTTCTCCATGTCACTCAGTAGTTCGTTAATTGCATAGAACAGGAAGATGGCACCACCTTGTGGGCTTTTTATTCTTCTTTAATATTGTAGGCACCCCTTAAGCAAATATAACCACGTTAAAAAATGGCACCATTCCCTTCTTGGGTTTGTCATTAGGCGCCAGATCCTTCTCCATCGAATTTTTCCAACAGAGTCCTCCTTTACTACCCACTTCTTTTTCCAGTCTGAAGACGTTGTTGAGACCCACACACCAGAAGCTTTGCGGAGAAAGCAAATTACTTCTGACATATTGGCATTAGAGGCAGCACCTTTTGGTGCAATCGTAGTTTTTTTTTAAATAATTTTCTAATGGATATCATCCAAGTTTTGGCGCATGGTGAATAACTATTCAATTGTAGATTTATCAAGTCTGACACCCCTTTGGCGGTTCTTCGCCACATCATATTAGCTCTGACGATCAGACAACGATTCAAGCAGCTTTTTTGTTCTTCAGACGGGAAATTGTTAATCGAATTACGTCACTGTCGGGCAATAAAAAGTCTATTCCATCGTCAGCGATTTAGGAGTTGGGCTCGCCAACCCCTCACGAAAAAGTTGTACATCAACTGGCTGGAGAAATTTTGGCTTAATAAACTCTTTAAATGTGGGTCACAGTATCGCTGAAATCAAATTAAACATTCGTTTGCCTATTTTCAGCAAATTGACATCAATTGATCTTCTGGTTTAAAATTTTTAAGTTGGCTGGGAGACGCTTATCCACATATGATCTCCCATTTACTCAACGAGGGCGGCAGTTTTTATCTATTTTTTATTTTTTTCTTTAATTAATTCCTATTTATTATAATATTTTTAAGGCAATTTTTTTCATTCACAAAAGTATAGAAAAGTAATTTCAGTGGTATTTATTATTTTTCTAAATTATTTTTAAATTAAGGTCACAAAACTTTGGATATTGATTAGTTGTAAAGTATGTATACAAATTATGTAGCAAATTAATATTTCATTTTTTCTTTCAATGCAACTCTGTGTAAGTGCAACTTACTTGTACTGTTTATTTAAGATATAATTATTTTCACCCTTTCAATACAAATCCGGAGATGTAAGAAATAATGCGCACTTTCCGGAGAAGTAACCTACTGTAAGGTCAGAAAGACTTAACAGCGCTTAAAATACCAAATTAAAAACTCGCCTACCACAAAAAAGTTACCAAAGAGACGAAATTTCTTTGACTTTTTCTATTTTGCACCGATTATGTTACATAATGGGGATTGTGTGAGCATTTAAGTACATACATACATACATGAATGCATATAAACATGTATATTATAAATATCATGCACAATTATAATATTCCAAATGTCACCAGCACTTACATATTATTTTATAACTAAAATTTTTATATTGCACATCTTCATATGAAAGTTATTATATTTCACTTTTTTTAGGACAAAATTACGTAAAGTAATACAAAAAATAAATCTTGATAATAACCTAGCCCATTTGATGTGAGCATATGCACAAAATAAATAGCAAATTAGTTGCGACATTAAATACAGCATGTACAAACATGAATAATAGCATGCATACGAGTAGTAACAGCGCAAGTTTGTCGCTTAAGTCTTTGCTCGTACGCATGGCCTAGACCTCGCTGTTAGTACAATACAACGAGTAGATTACTAACAGCAGTGCAATTGCTGTTGACTTTTGTACAAACATAATTTTTTTCTGTCGCCTTCAAATGCTTTTTATCTGTATTTAAAAAAATTATTTTCATTAGAAAAAGATTTAAGTGTAAGAGTGTAGCTATTTATTTTGTGTGGATTTTTTATAAATTACATTGCGTGTTTTCTTGTTGGCGTTTAAACATTTATGTATGTACATATGTATGTACGTACATATAACTTCTGAGAAATTGTCACAAAAGCACGCGGCCGTAAAGACATCAACGCAATTTAAGTTATTTAATATGTAATATAAAGTGAATTGCTTATAAAGTAATAATAACAACAAAAACACACAATACATATGTACATACATATGTATGTACAATATAGTTTAATGAAAATAAAATAATTTGCGAAAATTACATCAACAAACGAGCGCCAGTCGTAATATGTAGCGATTGAACAACAACAGAGCCAACTGCATAAACGAAGGCATGCATGGCATGTGTGGGCATGTTGCTATGTACATACATATGCATGTACATAAGTGCATGAAGAAAAGTAGCGCAATGCACAAAAAAAGTATGGTAATGTTGTTAAAATTGTTGAATAGTGTAAAACTTAACAAATGCTGATTATGGTTCTGTTCGGGGAGAAATGTCGGTTAAAAGAAGCAAAATTTTAAAATTGCGCTCGCTTGGTACAAAATTTTCTGGCCTTTTCGCCTCACCGAACGCGGTGCAGTAAAAATTGGCAACAATGGTTACTGTTCATCAGCTCACCGAACAGATGTTTTGTACATACATACATGCATATTTATGTACTTTTGTAGATAATGCAATATTTCAAGTAATAAAGTTGTAAAAAAAAAATACTTTATGCAGTAAAATGAAAATTTTGAGAATACCTAAATTATTTGTAAATTTTTTAAATTTTATGAAATAAGGCTAACAATGTGTTTTTCATGAAAATAACTATTCTTTCGGGATTTTCGGTACTATAAAAATTAAAAATAATTAAAATTTAATTAATTTAAAAATAATTAAAATTAAATAAATATTTGAGAAAAAAAAAACTCTGTAAAACAACAAAGTGATTTTTTAAGATTTTTTCGTTGTCTCCACCGCGATACAGTAATCGAATGTAATATATAATATATTTTAAGAAAAAATCTAATTTTGTATAAGAAAAAAATATTTGTATTTATTTTCAGTATCGCGTAACGTTCTAAAAAATTTACGAAACTTACATACATTCATACATATATATGCATGAATAATTTTACTGAAAATTTAGTGTGGAATTTGAAAATAACATATCATATAATACTATACTTGTCGTCCCATGGGCTTTGATATTGATTTGTAGTACGAAAAAGACTACATGGCCGATTACTATCATCCACACTGAAGGTCAAACTTCTTGCCGCACTTCCGATAAAATGGGGATTTTGAAATGTAAAGTATATTTTCATTCACCTCACTAAAGAGTAGAAGCGCTATTTAACTGTTAGTTGTTCGAAAGGTGTGATGCTCAAAAGCTCTGTAAGAAAACGAGAATACTTGTAAAGGGTTTCAAAACCATACCCTGAACTATGAAAAAATATGATATCTTGAAAGATTCATTTTTTAATACTTTTTTTAAATCCAACCGGTGACCGAAAACCAGCGATAGACCGGACTGCCCTAAACACGAGTTCCCGGATGGTCGTTTTTAGTTAGGTATTTAATATTTGGTAGAAAAAAAAAGAGTCGGAGAAATCAGTGCTGGCAGAATGAGTTTTGAAATCGTTATATAAACAATAAATAAATGGGTCGTACATTTCAAAGTTGGTTTTGCATGTACCCAATACAATGGGTCTAAAGCAAAGCTGCATAAATTTCACGTTAATCGAAAAAATGTTATTGTTTCGGTTTAAAAATTTGGAAATAGTAACCTTAAAGCAGTTATCAAAATAAATTTCTTTTCGTTTTTAAGCGAAACGTAATGTTGTCGTTAGGATTAAATCGTTAACAGATAATGTTAAATCGTTAACAGACAATGTTAAACGTTAAAACTGAAGTTAACAGCACTTAGAAAGCAACCATTTAAATGTTAATGTTAACGCTGAGTTTGTGCGGTTCAACATGGCGCCAAAACGTAACGGCCTCATTGGGTTGAGTTCATTTCTCTTGTTAGCTAAACGAAATTATATCGTTGCAATCGTTGAGCATCTCCGGTCTAAAGTGTCCGGATTATTTGTAAAGGATGCTAGAGTTAAGCGCGCTAAGCAGGAATGGAATGTTTTTTACTTCTTGTCCTTAGAGAGAGACTTCACAAAAACAAACAAAGATTTTCCTATCGACCATTGTTGCATGCATATATGTATGTCTATGTCTATGCCATTAATAGATTTACTAACTTTAATGCTTGCATCCACTATTAAACTAAGCATATAGTGTAACATAAATATATATATATGTATATGTATATATATAAACGAGTATATGCATATCTCGATGAGCTATTTTGCAACTTAGTTGCACTCACGTCTTATTGCTTTCAACTGCATTTTGCCAATTTATAGCTGCGCTGCTACTCAGGCCTGCAAGTGAGTGTGTGTTTGTATGTGTTAATGTGCTGTTTAGAGTGCAGCGATTTTACTACTTTCAACG